AGGGGCTCAGGAGACCAATGTGGGATGGAGATGGAGGCACAATATTCCCCATTGTTGCTATTCCAGAAGCCCCCAGCCCTGGGATAAGCTGGGAACAGGAAGGGACAACTCAGAGAAGGGAGAGTAAGAAGAGAACTCTGGAAAACTCCTTTTAAAGGATGTGTTTAGGAAGAGCAATCTGTAAACATACTATGGGACAGATAAAATATCTTGGATTAGGAAAAGCAACAGGCCAAAAAAATTAAAGAATCCAAAATATATCTGTCTGCAAGTGACTGGTGTGTTGTTGTTATAATCTGACTAATGCTTATCAGGACAACTCAGAAACCTCAGAAATGGCATGGCATGGCATGCTGGCCTCTGCTTGAACTGCTTCTGCCCTGACAGACCTGAGCTGTCTGCCTTGCCTTAGGGACAAAGACTGAGTAGAAAAGATGCAGCTGCTGGTCTTGCTGACAGGCTCATGGGTATTGTAGTTTTTATCTTGGGCCAAACTCTGAGTTTCTCCTGTGAGCATCCTTAACAGCATGTTCTGAGGCATGCATTTGGTGAGGTGGTTTATCTGCTGCTTGATGCCTGCATCCTAAACTGGAGTGGAGGGGTTTGATATCTGGCTCCACATGCCACTCCAGATCCCTGGGGGTGCGCACCCCAAAGGTCATCAGAGGACGACACAGTGCTTGGGTCCCAACACCCACAGGGAGGCCTGGATGGAGATCCCAGCTCCTGACTTCAGCCTGGTCCAGCGTTGGCTATTGCAGGCATTTCACAAGTGAAGCAAAGAGTGGCTTATTTCTTTTTCTCTCTCTCTCCCCAAAGTAAGAATATTTTAAAATCAGCATGTTCCACTTATGAATTGAAAGTTTCAGTGAACTGCTCCTCATAATGCTTAAGTGTATAATGAAAAACACAAGGATCCACACTGTGAGATTGTTGCAGTGAGCAGAAAGACGAAGATCATTTAGGAGGAAAATGTCTAACAAATAGAAATGATGAGTTACACATTTTCTATGTCAAAAGTTAATGTTTGCGAAACATAGAAAATGATACTTAGAGAAAATGTTCACCAAGTTACTTTTAGGCAGATAGAAACCCTTCTCATTTCTGTGGAAGTTAAGGCACCTCCCAGTTGCTCACATTCATGCAAAGAGCTCCATGGAGCCCACCACCCTGCTCTGAGCTGTGCCGGGTGGACATGAGGCCTGGTAGTGAGTCTGTCTGCAGCCAGCACTGAAGGCCCAAGCAACAGCAGGACGCACCACTTCCTTCTCTACCCTCAACTGAGGCCCCGCCCTCCTGCCCCTGACCTAGGCGTCTGGCCACCAGGTCCTCACTTGGCTGCCTGCCCTGAGGACACACGGCCATCAGACAGGATGTCACCGCTGGAAGCATTTGCCTTCTTCTCCTTCTTGGCTTGTGAGTCAGTCTGGCCGCTTCAGTCTAGAGGAGTGGCTAAAGCAATTCTTTAATATCTCTTTTTCTCTGTTCAGAATTTCACTGTACATTCTCATCTTTTACTTACAGCTGGACTTGGATTATCAAATGTGGAGCAGTCACAGATATCTGTAACTGCAAAAGTAACGAGAAGTACTGTAATATTTTGCAAGGTATCAAGTACAACATTTGACATTGAAACCATTTACTGGTATAGGCAGAAACCAAATCAGACTTTGGAGCACCTGATTCAGATTGCCTCAACAAAGAACCCAGTTTACGCTAGTTTCAGTGGGAAGCACAACAAAGTTGCAGTGAAAAAGGATTCTCAAACTTCCTCTTCAACCCTGACCATCAACTTCCTAGAAAAAGACGATACAGCCACTTACTACTGTGCTGGCTGGTCTCACAGTACTTGAACTATCAAAACATTCTGCACAAGATCTGTGCCCACCACATCCTTCCCAAGAGAAGCAAGCAAGTACTTCGACTCCCCGGCTGGCCTTCTAACCTCAGGCCTGCTTTCTCTGAAGATCTTTCTAGGCTTTCTAGGAAGCCATCATGTCATGTGCCCACACAGCAGTTCCCGGTTCACATTACCCAGGCACTGGGTTTCACCATCTGCACTTGACATTATGTTTCCTAATGACTTGATGACTGAGAGGTGACTGCTGTGCTTTCCATCAACTCACCATCTACAGACATGAGCCAGTGGCCAGGGAAAGGCTGTGATGGAATCACGGAGGGATCTATCACCACAGTGACAGGGAATCTTGCCTATTACTGCCCCGGATCAAAGCGAGCCCTCTGTCACACAACAGCCCTTGGCCTATTTTCAGTTAAGCACATGAAAGCTTAGAGTTGAAGCTTAATGAATCTGCTGAAGACCAGGAATCGTGCCTTTTGAGCTGAACTGTCAGGCCACACTGAACAGTTTCAGGGTTGCAACTGGAGGCAGAGCAAGGTTCCTTTCCTGGGATTTAGGGGAATTGGATTCTGCCAACATGGTGTCCACAGAAGAAAACTCTGAGTAAGAGGGTGTTAGATGAGGGTGGCATATGGGGTTAATCCTTCATTCTGCCCCTTACGAAAAAAACCAATGTGTGTGTGTGTGTGTGTGTGTGTGTGTGTGTGTGTGTGTGTGGTGGGGAGGATTGATTCTCTATTAGAGCTTTTATTCTATGCAGATTTCAGCACCCTTAACTCACCTCACTTTAACAGCCTATTCTGCTTTTTTTCTTCATGCATTTCATACCAAAGATTTAAATAAAGTAATGAGGTGGTTGGGCCACTAGTCCAAGCTGCATCATTGGTATGGCAGAGATAGATAGCCTGACTTGACTTGAATATCAAACTAACTGCCTCTTAATCACGGGAAGGCAAAGGAACAACATGTTGCTCCTAAGGCCATGGAGAGAAATTAGCCATAGAAAATGTACTTGTACAGAGCAGTCTGTGTTCGGAAGCATGGCTCAGGACTTGGGCGGTTAGGTATCTTCACAGAATGAAAGAGATGTTAATTCGTTGGCAGTTGAATTTTTCAGTATAAACCAGTAGTAATATTTTATTTTCAATTTGTGTAACAATGTGTACAATGAGCTTTTTGGGAAGTATACCAATATATCTTTATGAGCTTTATATACATATATATGTATATATATGTTTATGCACATATATATTTACAGATACAGATATTATTGAAAATGAGATTTTGCAATGAGGAAAGAGAAAGAGTGAAAGAAAGAGAGAGAGAAAGACCTCCCATCCACTGACTCATTCCTCAAATAGCTACAATGGCTATTGGAAAGTACCAGGAGCTAGGCATTTCCTTCAGGTCTCACATACGCATGCAGGGTTCCAAGGACTTGGGCCATTCTCTGTTGCTTTTCCCAGGCTGTTAGCAGGGAGCAGAATCAGAAGGGGACTAGCTGGGACATGAAGCAAGGCACACATGGCATGCTGGTATTGAAAGGCAAAGGATTCACCTTTTGATTAACTTGTAACAGCCCTTTTGTAAGCTTCTCTGTATATACTGTTATTCATACAGTCAGTCCCCCCAAATAATATCAATATGTTCATTTTTCCTGCCTCTATTTCAAAGGTTTATGTTCTAGTTTTTAGTTTTGATATGTATTTTTAAAAATGAAAGACTTTCAGCTTAGGCAGACAGAGATGAAATTAGACCTGTGATCCATCAGCCCTTCCTACCTCTGTTAGGCTTAGTTCGTTTTGATTCACGTTCTGACCCACAATGATTTTAACTGTGGGAGTCTTTAATAAGTGAACAGCTTCTTGCCTTTAATAGCCTAAACATACCTTCTTAATCCTCTATGCTTTTTAAGCAAGTGCACAAGAATCCATGACCAAATAGAACAGAACAAATCTGAGAAGATGAACTTTTGCCAAGAGGAATACATGGAAATGTGGAGTAGTCTCTTCAAAATTGCTAAGTTCCTGGTGTGGATTTTCTCCAGTGATGCATAGTATAGCACTGTACCTTACTATCACAGTATTTCCAGAGAAACATATTCCATGTCCCAGGAAAAAGGTATTGATAAGCAAAATTTTTCATAATTCACTGCTTTCTCTTTTGCATTTTATTGCAGAAACCCTTCATGGTTTTTGACATATAGGAAGTTCTTGCAACTTTTAATAACTTTCCTCGTGATCTCAGAATGAGGAAAACCAAAGGATTCAGAGATGAATGGGCCTCCTTCACACCTGCCTGGGTGCAAGGGGTCACCAACAGTTCCAAGTCACACTAACTCAGACCCTCATTTTAAAAAATCATTTCCAAATGTGATTTTCATCTACTCCCCTCATCCCCCACCATCTTCTGAGATTGGCTGTGGGCTGCCCCCTGCAGCTCTGCTCTTACCTTTATGACAGAGATCAAGTCTGCTCGCAGGACATAAGCCAGGACAGCGGGCTCTGCAGTGGACACTGAGGTCATCGGGGCCTGTTCTGCTCTGCCCTTCCAACTGGACACCTCACCAGATTTGGAGGAAGCACTCACTGATTCTGGAGACGTCTACCTTGTGTTGGTACCTGGGCAATTTCAGCTACTGAAGAGCTTTCTACTTTCAGAAGTACATTCCCAGATTGCTGACAGGCAGGCCCTGTGTGTGAGAACAGAATGTCTTTTCCTTTGGTGTGTTTTCTGAGCAGATTCAACATCAGTGGTACAATGTGGAAATCAGGAGGAAAAAAAAAGAAAGAGAGAAACCAAAGAAACAGGCTTCATTCTCTGAGTACTCTTGCCAGCAATTTAGAAAAGCAGCTGTCTGGCAGCGTGGCCTCTCTCTTCCCTTCCCTATTTCTTATGCTTGCATTTATGATAGAACTCTACAATGATTTCTGCCTCCAGTGGAAAGAGAAAATGTAGGATGTAGGAGGCCAATTTTCTGTAGAGTTTATTGTCAGACACCATAAAGACTTATACGCAACGATTTCCAAATTCACCCAGACCAGATTACCAGGACAAAGGTGTGAAGAAATTACCACCATGTCATGACGCCTAGCAGCAGGCTGAGATTTTTGTAAAAGTTGTCACCATTGTGATACTGATGGATGGATCAAGCTGTTTGGAAAGGGAACCAGGCTCATAGTCATTCCTACTGGTAAGTACCTTGATAAAATTATTTTTATCCTAGTAATGAAAAACTGATAAAAGCTTATTTCTGTGTGTTTTTCTGTGTGTTTTTTTTTTTAATATACTGAAATGCCAAAGTCCTTTTCTAGGCTTTTTTTTTTTTAAGATTTATTTATTCTAATGGAATGGCAAATTTGAAGAAAGAAGGAAAGACAGAAATATCTTACACCTGCTGTTTCACTCCCTAAGTGGCCGCAACAGGCTAGGGTTGAGCAGATCCAAAGCCAGAAGTCAGGAGATTCTACTGGGTCTCCTACGCAGGTGCAGCGTGTCAAGGCTTTTAGCCATGCTCTGCTGCTTTCCCAGGCCACAACAGGGAACTGGATAAGAAGGGGGCAGCTGGTACCAGAACAGGCACCTATATGGGAATCTGCTCTGTGCAAGGAGAAGATTCAGCCACTGGGCCGTGATGCTGGGCCCTGTGTGTTTATTTTTGACAGTCAGCTTCTCAACTAAATAAAAGTAAATGAGCACTTTTACAAGCAGAAAACTTTGGTATAATGAATGCACTAACAATGACCTAAACTGTTTCCAAACTCTACTTGAGAAGAGCTGAAACAAAATATACAGTCAGGTCATTCATTTAAAAATGGAAAAAAAAAGAAAGTTGCAAAAAGGAGAAGAAAAACATGTGGTTATCTAGCAAGACACATAGAATAAAATTTTATTCTCAAAAGTAAAATATCATTGAATATAAAATTTTTATTAACTGGAAAGAAATGCACTTAAATTTCAGGAATGGATTTTTTATGATAGAATTAGAAAATGATGCTAGTGCATGAGTGATTTAGGAGTTATAAAATACAGTGAAGGGGGCATTGCTTTCAACATCATTTGTGAAAATGGTCAAAGCTGGCATTAAGCAAGCCCTTTGTATAACATTATCATTGCCTTAGTGTTGTGGAATTTTAACATCCCATGCCTTGCAGAGTTGGGAAAACCCAACATACATGTCAGGTGGGCACCATTCAGTGATCTAAAGGAGCAGGTGGATGATGGATTTCTTGCCTGTTTCCTGCCACTTCTCTAGCCTTTCTGCTCGAAGGGCCAGAAAGGAGGTCCTACTCAGACTTTGGCATGAGCAGGATACCAGTCAGTTGGAAGTTGACTTTTCTGATAAAAACATGGGCTTCCAGTATACCATTCTGTGGATTGGGAATAAAGCCGTTTGTTTTGGACAATACAAATGCAGCATTTCCATACACTGAGGGCATAATCAGGTGTCTGCTATGCTCGCTTGGATTGCCTTCACAGGGCAGAGAAGACAGGATGCTAGACCTGGTGCTAGAGCCTGTTGGAGACAGAGTGTGTGAAAGACAGGCTTCTGGGATGATGGTTTTGAGAATCCCAGGCACAAAAGAGCCAAGTGGAATGCAAATGCAAGGCAGAGAAACAACTCTTCCTGCTGTATTGCCATGGAGGCAACTGCAACTCCAAAATACTGGGTCTCTGTAGGAAGAGCAGTTAGGTCCAAGAGGTAAACCTGCCCTATTGGAGCACACAATCAGTTCACACAAATTGCTAATACAACAAGGATGGCAATATAAAGGAACAACTTGTCTTTTGATAACATTGTTAATCAAATTACATTTTCACATCTTGTTTTATTTTGACTTCACCCCAGTGGTGGTAATGATGTTTAATTGACTTATAGCCATATCTCTAATTTGAAAAAAATAAAGCACCACATAAATTGATTTACTCAGCCACACAATTTTCTATGAGCAAAATTAAATGAGGACAAGAACCGAGATCTTTTGAGCACCTGGCCTGTGATCCTATTGCCACAACAGTTTGAAGAAGTCAGGGAGATTTAAACAGTCTGAAGTTTTTCATACAGGTTGAATCACTGTGGGATGCTTATGTAAAGCTCTTCAGTACTGGAACAAGGCTTATTGTCACAGGTAAGTGTCAGAAAAATGCAAATTTTACAAGGTCAAGGAGCAAAGACAAAAATGATTATATTGTAGGCAAAAGAAAGAATGTGATGGGGATTTGATGCAAAAATCTTATGATAGGTTTTGAAGCAATGCTTTGGGGGCTGCTAACTAGCAATGCCTGATTCAATTCCTGGCTATTCTGCTTCCAATTAAGGCTTCTTGCTAATGTCCCTCTAGCAGACAACAGATGATGGGTTCAAGCGCTTGGGTTCCTGTTACCCATATAGGAGAGCCAAGATGAGTTCCTGACCCCTGGCTAGGGCCTGGTCTTCCAGCCCTGGCAGTAGTGAGCCTTTCAGAGAATGAACTAGAGATGAAAGATCTTTCTTTGTTTCTGCCTTTCAAATAAAGTGAAAGTAAATTTATAAGTAGATAAGTGCAAATGAAATAACGAGAACATAGACAATAGTATATAAATATTATTATAGGATTTAGTCTTATATTCCTAAAGACATCCATAATGTGCAGATATATACTATATATAGTGACTTCATTAAAGTGTTTGGCTGTAAAACACATTGTTGTGTTGTGTTTGATGGAAAGTTTGCATTTTGCAATCAGATATTCTTGAAGCTCTCGTTCCACCAATTAGAGCTTGGTGAACTCGTGAGTTTATTTTTTTCCTCAGCTTCCTAAGCTGTACCACGGATAATAGTATAAACTGAGCATCTGTGAGATAGAAATGAGCCAGTGTGAATTGTTGGACAGTCTGCGATGACAGTAAATGTTCTTCTACTTTGGAGTTTTAAATGGGAATCCAATCAGATATAGCTCTAGCATTTATAATTTCAGTCACTAGATTAAGACCCAATGTACAGCCATCCAGTTAAGATTCCAGATCCGAATGAGATGCCTTGTAAATACATGAGGTATGCTTACATATTTTTCAAGAAACCCTGGAACTATGACTTTTAATACTGCATCAATTACATGTTCCTTGGTTCAGTAGGTTGAGATAAAGGAAACAGTAGAACAGTGTATGTCAAAAGTCACACAGGGTAGACACAGATTGTGGAAGAAGGCTGAGAATCAAAGTACTAAGCTGCTGACAGATATACACATCCCTCATGAATCAGGCAAAAGCACGTTACGGCAAATGTGAAATGCACACTACCTGGTTTATTGTCTTTTAAAATCTTGTATTGTTTTCATTTTATTTGGAGATAGAGAGACAGAAGGGCAGACTGAGAGACAGAGAGAGATTTTCCACCCACTGGTTCACTCCCTAAATGCCCACAGCAGCCAGGACTGGGGAACGCCTCACCCAGGAGTCTGGAACTCAACCTGGGTCCCTTACTGACTCCCAGTGTGCGCATCAGCAGCAAGCTAGACTGGGAACAGAGCAGCCAGAACTCAAACCAGGCACTGCCAATGGAATGTGGGCATCGCAAGTGGTGACTTCACTGCTAGGCCCAAGGATTCCCTCTTTCCAGGGTATCTTTACCTATGCTTAATCTCTAAATGAAATTTCAAAGTAAAACATATGATTGGTTTTTAGGTCTTGAACAAATCAAAATGTTGGCAACTAAATCATTGGGTAAGAATGACTGAAGATCATTTGTAAAAATAACAGAAGTTTGGGGGAAATGTTTTCCTTCTAAATTCTAAAATCTTAAATAATTTAGGGATGTGTGATTAAATATTGAATGCTCAAAAACTTGGGAGTGGCTTACATGTGAAAGGGATATTTTTATATAACGCTAGAAACTGACTAGGAGAATACAATGAATTTCAGAACTGTGCACATGGGAGCCACATTTAAAGATAGAAGGTCAGCTTGATAGATTGTAATACTTGCGGGCACTGGTTTCCATTTAAATGAGTGACTACATATTGTTGACATTAAAGATGAAAAGTTTCTTCCTGACATTGATTCAATTGGGAAATAAGGTAAAAAGGTACCTTCTAGAATCACTTGAGGAGTAGAGTTGCACAGAATTGAAGAAGAGGAAAATGTGAGTCAGGTGGCCAGTGAGAGCAGGGAAGCATCTAAAAGAGACCACAGATCCTCATAGCCAGGGACATCATAAAGTTCCCTGAGCTCTCCTGCCTCGCTAACAGCCACCTTTTGTGGACAAGCCCCAGGGAGGGGCACCAAATCAAAAGCAACTTGTCTTCCTCTTGCTATGTCTAGACAATGCCAAGCCAAGCAATGTTTGTGTTTCTCTAACAGTTCTTTCCAATATTTTATTTCCCTGCTCCACAGATAAGAGTATGGATGGAGACTTCTCCCCCAAGCCCACGATTTTCCTCCCTTCCATTGCTGAAACAACACTGCATAAGGCTGGGACCTATCTCTGTCTTCTTGAGAATTTTTTCCCTGATGCCATCCAGGTGTACTGGAAAGAGAAGAACAGCGATAAGGTGTTGGAATCCCAGCAGGGAAACACCATGAAGATTAAAGACACATACATGAAATTCAGCTGGCTAACTGTGCCTCAGAAGTCATTCAGTAAGGAGCACAGGTGCATTGTCAAACACGAGACTAAAGCAGGAGGGCGTGATCAAGAGATTCTCTTTCCTGCAATACAAAAAGGTATGTGGAAAACCCACTTACAGGGAATGCCCTACCTTATCTTCAAGTTCCAGTGAGAAATAGATGCAAGCCTTTCTTAAATACCCTAACCTCTGATGGTAATATAAATGGCCTGAAATTTTCCCATAGAATTAGAAAGGAACAGGCAGTGGATTACACAATGAAAAAACAGATATTCTACCTAAGCTTTCTTCGCCTTGGTTTCATCATCCAAAATATCAAGATCACACAATGGTTTTAGAATATTATGTGAAGAAAATAAGAATATTATATGAAAGCAATTAGCAATTCAGCATACAAAAGAAAGCTAAAAATGTTTACACAGTTGATGATTTGACCTTTTAGAGAAAAAGAACAGTGTGTGTTTTTCAGGAACATTCTACCAAGAAGACAAGTGTTTCATCTTGTTGGTTGAGGGATTTTCAAAGAGTTCATGGGATATACTCATTACAAACTCACATTTGTATAAACAAGAACATTATTAGAAAAAGATGAAATTGAACTCATGTTGACTATTTCCTTCTATTCACTTTAAGCTACTTTTATCTTTGTATAAATGTTTGTTTATTTTTGTTAATATCTAAGATAAATATAATTCTCACCTCAAGGTTTAAAGTGATTGATGAAGTTCTAGTCCCAGGAAGAATTGCACAAAAATGCTGAGCTCCTGTAAAGATAACAATAAAACACCCTCCGTTCAGAATTGGTGAGATGGTAGAAGAGATTTTTTCCACTGTAAATTATTTGCATGTATTTCTACAGATCGATTTTATAAGTCACTTTCCACACTAACTGTTTTAGTCCCTCAGATCTATGCTTTGAATACTGGCTTTGTCATTTACTATTACGATTTTGTAAGACACCTACATATTTTAAACATTATTCTTCATTCACAATATGGAGTCTGCTGTAAAACACCTTACATCAGCAAATAAACAAATAATGCACACTACATTTTGACATACAGCCTGGCAAAGAAATGACCACTGTTAGGGAATATCTCTTATTAATATTTTTGTCATGATCACAAAACCACACTTCAAAATATCATGTACATGACTTGGGGCACTAAAAAAGATTTATTTGTTTTTAATGAAAAGGCAGGTCAGACTTCCAGAGGGAAGAGTAGACAGAAAGATCTTCTGAACGATTGTTTACTCCCTAAGTAGCTACAGTGGCTGGAGTTGAGCCGATCAGAAGCCAGGAGTCCGGAGGTTATCATGGTCCTGCCAGGAGGGTCCAGGGTTCTAAGGCTTTGGGGCCATCATCTGCTGCTTTCCCATGCTACAAGCACAGAGCTGGGAGGGAAGTGGAGCAGCTGGGAACCAAGGTGGCCCCGATACAGGATTCTGGTGTTTGCAAGGCAAGGATCGTGCACTAAACTAACTACTAAGTAATTCTTCTGCTTAGATGAGAAATTTCTTTAAGCCAGAATCCTTTATGTAAGACTTATGGATGTACAGCTTGATGAAGTTGTCTCTGATACAGAACTTCAAGTCAGCGATATAGCTACTTTTTTCAGTTTACTTTCCTCTTGAACAAACATCATGAAATACTCTCTTCACAGCAGGCACTGTATCAGAAGCGAAGGGAAATGAAAGAAAACCCGATATTGTTGGAGATGAACAACGTAAGTACACATGTCCTTATGTCTTGCTGTGGTATATTTTTTCCTCCTTGATAATATGAACCTTTAAACTTCCCTAACCTTAAGGAAGTATTCCTGCTTTGATAAGAGAAAGATACATATCTTCCTCATGACTCTCAACATTTTCATCTACTAAAAAATCTGAGTTTTATCTACTCAATGACATAAATTCACACTGTTTCTGAAACCAGGTCCATATTTTTAATGACTGCCTCTCCTTCCTGCTGACACATATACCTAAACACACAAATATGGTGGCAGCTGATTCCCGAGCATGCCTGCCTTTCTGCGAGGAGTCGTTCCTAGTTACTGTGAGAATGCTGGTTGAAAAGATGAAAATGCAGGTTTTGTGGAAGCTTCTTTCATGTCATGCTAAGCATGATTCTTTTTCACATGGTCATTTTAATTTTTTAATTTTCCTTGGCATAAGGCAGAAAAAATCAGATGTTGAAGAGACTGAGTCACATTTTAAAAGCAGCTCACTACTTCCTTTGAGTTAAATGATCCGTGTGCTTTGTAGCAGGCACTGTATTGGGAACTCCAGATACGGAAAGAAATGCAACTCATGATGGATACCCTGAAGGTAAGCTTTCATGAGGTTTCTCTTTACACTATGTTGTGTAATACTTACCCCAATCTTCCTAACTTTTAAACTTCCCTGACTTAAGGTAGAAAAACCTGTTATTGTAAAAGAGGAAAACAAGTATCCTACATGAACTCATTTGGCAATGAGATGACTGTACATCAGAAAGTACACTGCCATGCTCTTACATATTGCAACAGAGACTTCATTCATTTCTGTGCCTATTGCTTTATATTATTGAAGAAAGCAAGACATCAAATTACTTCTAATGTGTGTTTTTTTGGCATTAGGGTTTTTTTTTCTCTCTTTTTTTTTTCATGTTGCTAGTTGCTAAGAGAATGAACTGGAACTTAACTGCCTTTTACATAGAAGACCTTTGCTTGTGTTCTGGAGGCATTTTCTTGTTTAATTTCATAGTCCTCTTAAGTGGAACAATGATCCACCCTTCTGTCACCTCCCATACTTTTACAGATAAAGACAATGAGTTACTGTGCCTCTTACTAATGTCACATAGCTAGATACCTGAATTTTAATTCAGACCATCAAATGAAGAGTTCATATACTTTCTTACTTATCCTGTGAAATAAAGAGTCACAGAGCAAGAATTCCAAATGCCACGACCCAAGACACTATAGATACATAATGGGGAGTGGGTAAGCATCTGGCTTCAGTCTTCTACTGACCAGACATTGGCCTAGGGCCCTTAATGTCCCTGTATGACTATGGGTTAGGGGATTCCATTTTGCAAGTAATCATCTGCCACCCGAGAATGATGGCATCCACTCAGGCAAAGATCAAGGCACAGATGTGACATGTTTAGCATAGGGTGGATCATTAAAAAGACACAGCCCAAGTGCTAGTCTTCTGTTGTTGTTGCTGTTTTATGATACAGTTCCATAGGCTCTGGAATTTCCTGTCTCCCTCCCCAGGTGTTCTTTCCCTCTAATATTACAATGGGTGGTCCTTCACGAATAGTCGTAAGTCCATCATGTTGCTGTTGAGGTGTTTCCCAACATTGTAGGCATGCACAATGTTGGAGACTGCATCATCCTACTCTCAGGATATTTTCAGCTGTTTCACTGGGATTACACCTTTTGTCTGGATACAGAGAGACATACTGCACTGTGTCTGCTCATCTGGACATGTCAGTCCACTACAGTACTAGTCATAGCCTTTGCTTACTAAGTATGCTAAACAAACACAAGGCACTGGCTCTCTCCTTTATTTCCGGTATCAGATGAGTTCTAGACATCCACCGCCACATCCGGCAAAAAAGGTAAAACCTTTGGCTTGACCAGGAGCAGGGAGATCCTTTTCACATCAATGGCTAATGATCCTGGAGTTCCAACTCTATGCAGACAGACCACGTGAAAGGCAAATGGACACAGGAAGTGGCCAGGCTTTGTGGCAATGTGAGTAGGCATGGTAGTCCACCACTGTAGTCTTTAATCATCTCATGACATCGTGTCCTTGTTGCACTATTTAAGAGGATTAAGTATCAACACCTAATAACACCACCACTCACTCCCATGAGATGTTTCAGAGAAAGCCTTGTCTTTCAATACCATACAAGAGAATTTGATTAGCTGCTTTCCTCCATTTTCTATATTACATTTTTGCTAAGACCTGCCACTCACCCGACTGTGAGCACCATCAAATTCCCACAGATTGTACCCTTCTTTAGGGCTCACTGTATGCGCAAGGTACCATGGCTCAGATGGCTGCAGATCAACAATTCAACTCTATGCATAACCTGTTCTATCTCCAGGGTGCTTACTTGCACATGGAGATGTAAGAACATATATGAAAATTTATTCTTTACAGTCTAAGCTGCACTCCTCATTAAATATATGTGATCAGAGAAAGTATTGCTGTGTCTTCAGTCTCCTTATTTATAAAATGAGAAGATAAGTAATTTTTTCTTCAAGGACCATTGTAAAGATGAAATAATAATAAAGTTTTACACATAGGAACCTCGGGTTTAGGATAGTAGTTATGAATATGACCACTTATTACTTAGGGTTATAATCTGCATGAAGAAATGCTGAATTCTAGTTTGTATAAGTAATATTTCCTCTACTGGATTTAGTCATTCAAAATTCAGCTTTGCTTTTTGATATGCGCCGTGTTCTAAGTATATTCAGCAGAGGAGGTTGTGATAAACTTGACTTGCAAGCTGAATTCCACTTTGTCTTGCTCTTCCTGGAGTGGGAGTTGGTATTAGGGTATCTTCAAGGTAGATTGTGAAAAGTAACTATCAGTGACTTCCTCCCCAACAATGTCTTATCCTATTAAAAGAGCAAGTCAAACTAATTAAATAACGTCTCCTAGATGTCCTGATGCTGCAGCTCACACAGACGTCTGCGTACTACACGTACCTCCTTCTGCTCGTCAAGAGTGCTGTGTACCTGGCCATCGTCACCTTCTCGATGTTTAGAAGAACAGCCATCTGTGGTGTGCAAAGAGCTCCTAACCAATGATGGTACAAAGAGTTCATCTTTTTATGCTGTTTATTCTCTCTGGCAGTGTCTGCAGAGGATTTAGCTGGGTGTTCTTTCTGAATTTAGGTTATGTAAGCACCCATGTGTATTTTTCTATTATGTCATCATGGCACAATGGTTTTGCAAAGCAGTGGTCAAGTAAGCCTTCACACTGTGAGACAAGGAATGGCCTAAGGTAGCTGTCACGCTACTCTCTCCAGTGCCCAGCAGCCCCTCCTGCCAACACAGCATGCACAGCCTCGGTGTGGGCAGTGTGCAGCCTTTAGATGTGCCCTTGGCATCCTTTAACTGCAAAACAGCTTGCAAGCCTCCCATGTTACACATCTTGAAACAGCCTTTCTTGCTACTTGAATTGTCATTTTTTTTTTTGCAACAGGCATCTTCAGATAAATAAATTTCAAAAACTCCAAAGTCAACATTTGTCTGTGTGTACATGAATTTGGTAAAATCCACTTGAAAGTCCATGTTAAGACATAGGCTGACAACTGTACCATGCCATTCAGTGTCGCTTGTCATTGGGGTCCAACATTACATTTGTAAACTCTTGCCTGATATTGTGGTCATGACACTTTCCTTGGTACACTGGCCCAGCACAAGATGTCTGTGGGCATTTTAAATGATATGATATAAAAGAGCTCTCTCTACATATATATATCCTTTAAACAGATAGAAGAACTCACCCTGTACATATATTTACATATAATAATTTACATATAATATAATATACAAATACAAATAATATAACATATTTACATATAATAACATATATATGTTATTTTTTCAAAACAGCAAATCCTTAATTTTTATGTACACTTTTTTTGGGTTTGTGGGGCGAAGGCAATGGATGGACTGTGAGTCTGAATATAGGAGGAATGTTCATGGAGATCTCAGGATGTGTGATATTCTGACACACAGGCTCCTTCCATGGAGGCTACAAGGTGTGGTAGGAGTGACACTGGACCAAAAGTCTCACTTCACATTTAGATCCTTGGTTACTTGGTCAAGCTCCAAATAGCTCTTCCTCTCACTTAAAATTGATTAATAAATTACACAATTTATATCTATGGAGCAACACATATGTCAATTCAGCATTTCTTTCTATTGAAACCATTCGAAGGACACTTCTCATTTCTTCTTCCTTAATTCATAATACATTATGGTTATCTATACCTTTTTGCCACATTGCCTAAGTGTATCCAGCTTTAGAAGAATGTGCTCCAATGTATTAATTTCAGATTTCTATCCAAAGTTACGCACCCAACGATTAACATTAGAGTGAATAATAATCACTTCCTCAGTGCCAACAGTGTGCCATGTAATGGTTTCCATATGTTACGTCATTTAGCTCTCAGGCACTTATGTGACAGAAAAATGATCTCTGCCTGACAGAGGGGCAAAAAGAGACAGGGAGCACTAAGGAAGTTTCCTGAAGCTGCAACAGCTAACAAGAAACAGGACTGAGACTGGAACCTAAGCAGCTGGTTTCACGAGCTCTGTTTCTACCTCTTACATGATTTGGTACTGGAAAGGAAACAGGCTCCTTTTACTTTCAGATGAAACCAAAGCATTTTTTTAAAAGATTTATTTTATTTTTCTTGGAAAGGCGGATATACAGGGGGAGAGATAGAGAGGAAGATCTTCTGTCTGATGATTCACTCCCCAGGCAGGGCGGCCGCAGCGGCTGGAGCTGAGCCAATCCGAAGCCAGGAGCCTCTTCCGGATCTCCCATGCGGGTGCAGCGTCCCAAAGCCTTGGGCCGTCCTCCACTTCTTTCCAGGGCCACAGGCAGGGAGCTGGATGGGAAGTGGAGCTTCGGGGATTAGAATCGGCGCCCATATGGGATCCTGGTGCATTTGAGGACCTTAGCCACTAGGCCACCGTGCTGGGACCCTATTGTTTGTATTCATCTAAATTAATTATTTTTTAATTGGAAAGACAAATTTAGGGAGAGGGAGAGACAAAGAGAAGGATCTATTATTATTATTACTATTATTGGTAAGTCAGAATTTCAGAAAGGAGGAGAGACAGAGAGAAGATCGTTGATATTCTAGTTCACTTCCCAAGTGGCCACAACAGTCAAAGCTGAGCAGATTCTTAGTCAGGAACCGGGAGCTTCTTCCAGGTCTCCCTCGTGGGTGCAGGGTCCTAATGCCATGAGAGCAGGATGGGAAGTGGAGCAGTCAGGACAAGAACCAGCATCCATATGGTACCTTAGGGCATGCAAGGCAAGGACTTTAGTCAACAGGCTCTCTTTTGGTTGCTGGTTATTAACTACAATATGCATTTAAACAGATTGTTTTGGAAACCAACTAGAGGTTTCTATTTGGAAATTAAGTAAGATCAAACAAATTCCAGAAAAATACTGTTTAATTCAGATCTACTCCATGAGTCTTATGAATTGATCAGCTCTATTTAGCCCCGATTCTTGACCCTTTAAGAGACAGTCTTCTGGCTAAGGAGCTCTGTGATGTCTGCTGTGGTTACTTAGCAACATCCTTTCTCTAGTTTGCAGGAGCTAGCCAAGCTTGAGCAGGGTGCAGGAGAGGTTTGTGGGTGGTGGAGGTGACACAGCGTGTGGGGAGAGGTTGCTGGGGGAGTGGATGCTATTTTATTTTTCTCAGACTTTATGTGTTTATGTGCTCTCTCAAATGTGGTTGATTCGAGGAAAATGCTCAAAGCCAAACCGGTTGCTACTGGCTGAAGCTGCGTGAGGGAGGCCAGGGTGTTCAAAGAGAAAATAAGGACAGTTAAACCACAATCAACCTCGCTCATTTTCAAAAGGCCACAGCTAATGGAAAGAAAATACCCATTTTCATACACAGGAGATTGCTATCAAACTTAGACTGCTGCAGCTGGTGGGGCTCCCTGCATATGGCACAACATGTTAGCTAGCATGCGACTTGGGAGTCTGACCCTGGGGTTGTCCAGACGCTGTCCCTTCAGTTCACTCTGACACTTCCCTGCAGGGAAGAACAGAGAATAATGCATGCATTACTAACATAACTCTAACATTCTGGAGTGCTTGTGCTTCTTTGACTGATTTACACACTTGGGTGCTGTTGCGTTGCATTTTCTCTGTGTTGAGTGAGCAGTGACACAAGACCCAGGCTGATGATTCTGTTAGCATGGATACACTATGGGTGTGTCAATAGGTGATGTGATTTGGAAACAGACAACAAAGGCCTGGAAACTGTGTACTGAAGGCCATACAGAATCATATAACACCTCTCTACAGTGATAAGAGGAGTCCTGAGTCAAGGTGAGGTGTAGAAGACATGAGCATCAGGACATGTGTGATTCGAGTCGGAGAGGACTGTGGTTCAGCAGTGTGAACATGCACAGTCAATGGCCCTCTCCTGGCCCCACCTAGCTTGGTGCACAGTGTGTGTCCAGGACCAGCAGGAAGGACAATGGTAGCTTGCAGAAACCATGTTAGGCTTTCCCCATCTGACCGTCCAGCACATTCCAATCATATGTCCAGCCCTGGTCAGTGCTTAGATGGCAGCCAACGTGTGCTGGAGTTATGGCTTCTCCCTGTGAGCACAGCTCCGTTCCCACCAGCTCAGCCCAGCAGGTCTGTGCAGAGTTCTCCACTGGTAAAGGTGAGAACAGACATCAGCGTGGCATCCTCCGTGGGTCTTGTGCCCTTGCAACATTATTCCTGAGACAGGAGTTTCCCACAGAGTTCCCACAGAGGTTTGATTCTCCAGGAGACACCTGGCAGATGTTTTTCCAGATGTTTCTCATCACTTGTCCACAGCACTGGGAGACCCAGCTCATGCAGAACACCAGCACACACCTGCTAAGTGACTGTCCAGCAGGCCAGCGTCCACCCAAGTCAGCATCACTGCCATCGACACAGAAAGGTTTTCTTGAACAGCACTGTGAACCAAGAGAAAACGCTGTCTACTGGTAAGCAGAGAGGCGAGCATTCATGTGCGAAAAAACAGCTCACAAAAAAAAAAAAATGGTGTAATTCGAATTAACAAAATGCAAAGGAAAAACATCAGCAGTACTTGCACAGCTACTTGTGGATTTGAAGTAAAAGTACTTAGAATATCTGAGCACCACTTCTCTCTGGGAAAGGCGGGATTTCCAAAGGAAAATACAAAATATCTGAGAGTATTTACAATTCCTCCTTGACTGCTTCCCATAAATCCAACGCAGGTCAAACAGAGACTAAGAAATGAGAGAAACACAACAAATCCTTTTGATATGTTGGTTTTTATTACTTTTGAAAATTGTACAAAGAGCACATGTGCATGAGTTAAAAAAACACACAAAGGAAAGGCAGAGTATTACAAAAACACACACAAATCTGAGACACAAGACAAACAAAAATTTCCATTGTGTGATTTGAAATAAAAAGGCATTTTGCTGACTAAAAATGTGTTATTTCAGTATATTGAGAAGTCTTTCGATTAGAAATACAGCATGAGACTTTTCCTCAATTATTAACAGGTCAGACTCAGTTTCACTGAAGATGGATGGACCGTTATGTCACCTCACTGGCCACAGGCAAGCAACTAAATGCGGGTGGGTATGGTACAATGTCCGTGAGGTATCAGAAATAAAGTAACTCCTTCCTAGCTGTTCATTCAAGCCAGCATTGGGTGTGACCTACTCGACTTTCCAAAGGGAGATCCCATGTCCAGTCTCTTCTCCCTTGGATGACTTAGCACAGCACCTACAGCCCACAGAGTCACCACCTTCATAGAATGAACATTGCGATAGTCATAATTAAAACAATGTCTGTCACACAATGTCTGGGAGATACACATGGATTCCTCGCTCCTTAGAGATCTGGGCTTCTAAGGTATCTCCAAATATTACAAATGTATACTGGTATGGAAAATGTTACTAAATTTTACACTAATGATACTAAAGTCATACAAATAAGACAAAAGCAGCAATAGGTTTATACGCATGTTCTTTGAACTCCACTTGAAATCTAGTTAAAGTTAATGCTCTATCTGTAGCTACTTTATTGTTCATTTTCAAACACTTACTTTCACAAAAGTAGTCCTCATAGTTCTAAAAGTGGCTTTTCACTGCCCTGCTTTGCTTCAGCTTCTTCTTCAGATCCTACGTGGTGGGGAAGGGAAAGCAGAAAGAAGTATGTCATTGTATTACAGGACTATACGCCTTCATTAAAATGACTAAATTAATGCATATGCTTATAAAACCGTATGTGAGATGCAGAGAACTACGGACTGACAGATGGAGAGAGCTTCCATCCACTGGTTTACTCCCCAAATGTCCCCAAAGAGCTGAGACAGGGCTGAGGAGAGGACAGGCGCTGGGCACTGAACTGAGGTCTCCACACGGGCGGCGGGAGCCTATTCACTCCAGCCATTATTGCTGCTTCCCAAAGTCTGTGTTATCAGGACAACTCCATCAGGAACCAATGGCAGGCATCAAAGCAGATGCTCTAAAACAGGATGTGGGCATCTTAGACACCCGGAGAAATGCCTGACCCATATTTGCAGACAAGTTTAAGTGGAAGACATGTATGTTTAAGTTTCAGAGTTTTTATAAGGGGCCAAGTTGTAATCATGTAATCTATAACCTGCACTTATCTGTCCCCATGATGTCCACTGGTAAAAATGATTCACAGAGACCAAGAAGTAGCACTGTACGCTATTCCTCCTCGTTCCCTCGGCTGACAAGCTGGCAGGAATTATAAGTGCAAATGGCATTGAACTCGTTGGAAAGGACTTTCTCTTAGGTCATTTTAACAACTGTTCCACAAGCTGAGTGTGCAAGCAGTGGGGCTTCCTGAGGCTAAGGCCGCCACCAGCGCACCACCTGCCCCCACTCCCCGGTGCTGCCCAGGACAGCATTAGTCCCACTGTCCCATTGATCCCAATCGGTGTCCCGGGAGCCTCCTGGTGTTCCCACATCGGAACTAGTCATTCTGCCGTGGAATTTCTTCTTTAAGGGCCATCACAAGGATGGAATATTAATTTTCACAAGGAAATTAAACTTGGTTATTGTGCGGATCCTTCCCACCAAAAATATATTCATACATAAATTTTATATGCATTTAAACATGTTTATTTATATATATATATATGTGAAAACTTAAGTGAGAACAGAAGAAAGACAAATTACTTTATCTCCTAAAAATACCTGTAACACACTTAAAGGTGAATATACGTAGTTCATAAAAACTGGAAAACGCAGGAAACTAACACAATTTGTAACAGATAAAACTTTCTATACCATTAGATAACATTTGGTAAAACTGAAAAATAAACATTGACATGCACATAGCTTTGGTGTATTTTTCTGTATACTGCAAGTTTTGTATAAAGAACCCATGCCTATTATCTGGCTTTACAGTGTAATTTAGAAAGGGTGTGCGTCCCACAGGCAGCATGGGAAGAGCGGTGTGAGACAAATACACAACCAGAAGTAAAGAAAGTGTTGACAGTGACACTATGCACAATTTCTTTGTTTTCAGTCTTTCATTGTTCTTCTAAAAAGCACTTATTGCTTTCATAACCAAGGAAGGGAAAGACCAGAAAATGACCTATGAGATGACCCTGGTAGCAGCCAAGGGATGCCATCAATTCACACACAAAGCGCCAGCCTCCACTCTTGCTTCCAGGGGACATTATTTTGTTATGAAAATGTCTGCCTGCATTAGAGCCAAGCACATACTTGCTACAGGACAAGCAATGGCTGAGAACCTCATGCCTCCACATTAACCTCAAGAGCATCATATAGTTCTAACGGAATCTGTGGTGAAATCAATAGACTGAGGGATGGTGGTCGCGCTTCACTTTCCAGCCCTCTGCCCTCCTGTAGTCACAGACGGGCGGCGTGGTCTAACTGCTTTCTGCATTGAAGCAGCTGCGAGAAGCAGCTCACACCCAGTCTTCCTGTTCCTGGGCTCATCTTCCACCTGTCAGACCAACAGTGTTTAAACCACAATGACCTCATTCATTGTGGAAGTCCAAGGTAAAGCTAACTGTTAATTAAAGCACTACATACACACCTCACATGTTTTACAAGAGACTTTTGGCAACAGCCTGTTGAGGGTGTTGAGTTTTCTCCCACATAAGTACCTATAGAATATGGCCAAATGGACAAAACAAATTTTTGTCACTTTGGAAAATAAACATTAATTCAAAGTGAACCTCATCTTGATTGAAAGCACCAGTAGATGGCAGTACACGTCATGGTCAAAAAGCCAAGGGACCCAGAAGTGGCAAGTTTGAAGAAGTGCTACTCTGGATGTCTTTCTTTGTTATTGATTTGAAAGGCAGAGTGACAGAGAGAGGGTGACGGAGACAGTGGATGTGTGTGATAGATCTTTCATGTGCTGATTCACTCCCCAAATACCTAAACCCGCCAGGGCTGAGCCACACTAAGGCAGAAGCCAGAAGCCACTAACTCTTGACCCCACGGAGGTGCCTAGCTCCTCGTTTCAGATCAGATTCGCTCAGATCCAGCTGTTGTGGCCCTTTGGGGAGTGAAGCAGAAGATGGATGATCTATTGACGAAGAAAAAGAAACAGAACAATAGTAAAAAAGGAGGAGGAGGAAGAGAAGGAGCAGGCAAAGGGAAGAAAGGAGAAGAAATACAATAATCTAGTTAGTCTGTGCCTAAAGCTGACCTTCCAGTGGGACAATCTGCCCTTTGGTGCTGTGCATAGAGCAAACAGCACAGCGCACCCTGACAAGGGGTGCAAGGAATGACGGGGAGGTGGAGGTGTTTGCAACGCTGAGCGGAGAGCAGGAGTCCACAGAAAGGCAGCAGGAGGGTGCGTAATGCCTGCATGGTTTGCTGCACAGCGTTTTCGGAGAAGCTAGCCGCAGAGCAGGAGGAGGCGGTCAGGGCCAGCAGTGCGCCGAGAGCTCCTCTCTGCCAGGGTACGATCTGCTACTCCTACGGCGCAGGTGCCATCGGAGGCTGTGGAGCAGTACACCCTGAATGGAGGTTTGCCAAACAAAATATAGAAAAATTGAATTCTAGATCAACAAATAACTTTTTTTTGGTTTGAATATTGCCCAAATGTTGCATTGACAGTGCACCATGTATTTATTCTGGAGTGATACAGTAAAATTTGGAACTCTAGGGAGTCACCTAACACTATTTGAGGATGATCAGAAAACTTGTAGCAAATCATCTTAAGCACACACACACACATTTATTTTGAGGGTGTCAGATGTCTTCAGCATCACTGGTCTCACTATATTAAGAAGCTGGAGTCAAAGCTTGTCAGATGTGCTCATGGAGGTTTTCCCAAAGTCTACTCACAGACATCAGTGAAGGTGGGTGAGAACAATTAGAACAACCTGTCTCGGGGCAGTTTGTGACAGCAGCACTCCCACATGAAAACTCAGCATTGCAGGGACTGAGCCCCGTGCTGGACTGCCAAGGTTGCCCGCTGCCCAGGGCAACTGGCCACCTTCCCAGCCCTGCACTCCACCTGCTTCACTCTGAGCTCTCAGCTCCTCACTCTCTACCTCTGGGAGCACTTGCGCGTAGCGGCCACAGGAGGGCACTCACGAGCACAAGTGCACTCCCAGCCAGGGTCTCTGCACTCAGCACTCAGCACTCAGCACTCAGCACTCAGGGTGCAGGGCTGAGGATCTTGTAGGACAGACCTGCCTGCTGCTGCTCCCTGCTGGGACGTCAGGCAGGACACTCAGCTCCAGCACACTTGCTGGATCCTGTCCCTTTTGAGTAGGATTACAAGCCTGAGGATTATTGGCTCCCCTTGTCATCCTTGATTCTTTCCTTCCAGGGAAGTTCTCAGAGGAGAAGGGTATGCTGTGGACTGTAGCCCTATTTGTAGCTTTCCTTGCTCCTGGTGAGTATGTTGCATGGATGATAATGGGATGAATTCTTTCCATTCTTCTTCTTCTCTTTCTCTCCATCTCTAACTCTCTCTCTCTCTCCTCCATATTCTTTTTCCCCTCTTCTCTCTTTCCCTGTCATCTGCCACAGAAGGTCATGTTGAAGAAATGTCATTTCATGTTTCTCATTATCATCATTTCTGTTGCCATTGCAGGAAGTCAAGCTTCTTCCAAACCAGAACAAACAATGACACTGGTCACCCAGTCAGCTGGGTCGTCTGTTATAATCCCTTGTATTTCTAAAGAAAGAGACATTCTGCACTGGTATAGTTTCAAGGATGGAGAGACCCCACAAGGCCTTCTCTACTATAAGTTCTCTAGCTCCTCTTTTGAAGTAGATTCAGGAGTTAATCCAAACAAATATTATGCTTACGACGACCCAGGCAGCACCTGTAACCTTGTACTGCAAAACCTAGAGAAAAGTGATTCTGGAGTGTATTTCTGTGCCATCTGGGTTAGCACAGTGGTTCAGACCTGCCCAGAGCCACACTGAAAATTCTGCTTGTGGTTGTCGCTTGCATATAGATAGGTTGCTTCCCTCCCATCCACCCACTTCCTGCTCCTCACTCCACTGACAGTACTCTTAACAAAGGTAAACTCTGAGTTAAACCCTAACCCCTTGCTTACAGCCCCCTCCCTCTCAGTAGCTTCCCCCTGCCTCAGAACCCTCACCCTTGTACTGTCTGCCCTGGGTTTTCCTAATCTCCCAACTCCAGGCCTCGGCCCAGCAGGGCAGAATACAGCTGAGTTCTTCCTGTTGGTTGTGGTCGTGTCTAGAGACCAATCCTTACAGATGTCATCCAGCAAGGTGACATGCATTGGTTTAGTCTCCATGTCGGAAAATACTGGGCTGCAATCTACTTCTCTCGAAGCATAATGAGCCCTGGAATCCTTACAGATTCTGATAGGATGGCACACAAATTGAGATCTATGTGGGGGCACAGCGAGATGGCTGGTAGCACTTGAATACTTTTAATATATACCGAAGACTTCACAACATTTGTGGAAAACTGCAAGATATAAGTTTACTTTGTTGTAACAAATTTGAAACCCATTCACAGTTTTCCATAATATTCATTCCATAAATGTATATTTTGGAAATTAATATTTCCATTTTGAGAGCTTTTTAAGGTCATTCGCTGACATGTAAATTTTTACAAATTTATAGTTCCAGAATTTGATGAGCTCTCAGGATGATATTTCTACTTATTATATTCTCTTGATATTTACTTTATGGATATGTCTAGAGACATTTTTATGAAGCAACTACCGCAGGGATGGGTGCTCACTTTCTGGAGCTACTGTGGTAACCCTGTGGCCTAAATGACCCCATTTACTCATTGTTCTTATAGAACATTGACTTTTCTTTTTGATCTGGAAGAGTCTTAAACATCATGTTGGAGGTGAGGTCTGTTATCTGATATTAGTCTGTGGTTCCATCGTGTGGGAAGCTGCAGTCTATGATAACCTTGTTCTATAGAGTGCTGGTTACTGTCCCAACTGCTCCACTTGGGATCCAATCTCCTGCTCATGGGCTGGACAAGGCAGTGAATGATGAACCAAGTGTTTGCACTCCTGTCAATCCATGGAAGACCCACACGGAGTTGCTGGCTCCTGGGTTCAGCGCATCCCAACCCCAGCTGTTGAGGCCATCTGGGGAGTTATCAAAGCATGGACATTTTCTCTCTTTCTGTCTTTCCCTCTCTCACTATAATTCTGACTTTCAAGTGAATGAATAAATCAGTGAAAAAGGAAAGGAAACTTGATTCTCTGAGAATATTTTGGATTTATATGAACAACTACAACATTTTCACTAAGGCTGCTTTTTATTTTTTTTTTCACCCAGGCAGAGAGAAGGTTTATTCGAAACACTTCACAAGGCACTCATAAACATAAATTCCAAGATTTGCTGTTTCCAGTTTTACATCTAACACTCTACTTCTAGATGATACAGTGACAGTTACACAGTATCTGTTTCTATATAGAGCTGTTATTACCCAAAGATGACATCTGGAATTGATATTTTCTTTGCTGAATTGAATGTGCAACTTCATCCCAACCTAGAGTGTTGCCTGCAGGTGTCTTTGTGTCCAATGACTCTGTAAGCACAGGGTTCTAATGTCAAACACTGCACTCTTTCTTCAGAGCAGCTTACAGTTCCTCTTATTTTCTGGGGAGTGGAATTTATTGCTTTGTTTTAAGAACTTTCTACTCCAGTGTGATGGCAATGTTCTACTTGCTCATTGTTTCAAAAAATATTTCTTTATTTACTTTTTTAAAGTCAGAGCCACAGAGAGGGGGAGATGGAGAGAAAGAGAGAGAGAAAGAATCTTCCATCTGTTGGGCTACTCTCCAGATAGACACAATGGCTGGGGAGGGACCTGAGGTCAAAAAGTTCATCTAGGTCTGACAGAGGGTACAGGAACTCAAACACTGGGCTCATCTTCTGCTGTGTTTCCAGGTCATTGGCTGGGAGCTGATCACAAGCAGAGATGCTGGGACACAAACAGGCACCAGATGCAGCTATCACAGGCATTGGCTTTATTCACTCTGTCAGAAAGTGGGCCTGTGAGCCTTGTCCCAGCAAGGGTTTCCTAGTATCCCAAACTCTTGTGCTTCCCTCTGCTTCGGACAAGGGTATATTGCATTCAGAGCTGTTCACAGAGCAGTGTCTCGTTCCTCCCATGGGGCTCAGCAGAAAAAAAGGGAGACCCACAGATATGAACTTTGCTCATTTCCCAACTGTCACGGCTACAGCAAATACATTACGTGAAAAAAGGGCAAAGCAATGATGGAAGTAGAATATGATTTTATGTTTTACTGAGTCCTTCTAACAAAGACAATTACATTCTGCACATGTGCCACTTAAATGCTAGCAGCATTTCACTCTACTTGTTATGCTCCTATCTGTCTACCTGTTACCCACAAACCAGTTGTAAACACCGGTGCACATTCTGAATGGAGGATTGCCAAACAAAATAGTGTACATTTGAATTCTAGATCAACAACAAATGTGGACTATCATTTAGTTTCAATGTATGTAAATATTGTGTGACACAGCACTGTGAATTTATTCTTGGGTGGTATAGTAAAATTTAGAACGCTATCCTAGGGGGTCACCTAACAGTGTTTGAGGATGATCAGAAAACTTGTAGCAAATCATCTTAAGCACACACACACACACACACACACACACACACACACTTATTTTGAGGGTGTCAGATGTCTTCAGCATCACTGGTCTCACTATATTAAGAAGCTGGAGTCAAAGCTTGTCAGATGTGCCCATGGAGGTTTTCCCAAAGTCTACTCACAGACATCAGTGAAGGTGGGTGAGAACAATTAGAACAACCTGTCTCAGGGCAGTTTGTGACAGCAGCACTCCCACGTGAAAACTCAGCATTGCAGGGACTGAGCCCCATGCTGGACTGCTCAGACTATCCGCTGCCCAGGGCAACTGGCCACCTTCCCAGCCCTGCACTCCACCTGCTTCACTCTGAGCTCTCAGCTCCTCACTCTCTACCTCTGGGAGCACTTGCACGCAGCGGCCACAGGAGGGCACTCACGAGCACAAGTGCACTCCCAGCCAGGGTCTCTGCACTCAGCACTCATCACTCAGCACTCAGCACTCAGGGTGCAGGGCTGAGGATCTTGTAAGACAGACCTGCCTGCTGCTGCTCCCTGCTGGGACGTCAGGCAGGACGCCCAGCTCCAGCACACTTGCTGGATCCTGTCCTTTTTGAGTAGGATTACAAGCCTGAGGATTATTGGCTCCCCTTGTCATCCTTGATTCTTTCCTTCCAGGGAAGTTCTCAGAGAAGGGTATGCTGTGGACTGTAGCCCTATTTGTAGCTTTCCTTGCTCCTGGTGAGTATGTTGCATAGATGCTAAAAGATTTGATTCTTTCCCTTCTCTCTCTCTTTCTCTCTCTCTCTCTCTAACTCTATTCTCCACATTCTCTTTCTTCTCTCTCCTCTCTCCCTCTCATCAGCCACAGGAGCTCATGCTACAGGACTATCTTCATTTTTCTCATTATTATCATTTCTGTTGCCATTGCAGGAAGTCAAGCTTCTTCCAAACCAGAAGAAACAATGAGAATGGTTACCCAGTCAGCTGGGTCGTCTGTTATAATCACTTGTGGGATTTCTCAACAAAGCAGCTATATCCACTGGTACCGTTTCAAGGATGGAGAGGCCCCACAACGCCTTCTCTACTATGACTTCATTAAGTCTTCTTTTGTAATGGATTCAGGAGTCAGTCCAAGCAAATATCATGCCTACGAACACACTGGAAAGAGCTGTAAATTTGTAGTACAAAATCTAGAAGAAAGTGATTCTGGAATGTATTACTGTGCCACCTTCTTAGCACAGTGGTTCAGACCTGCCCAGAACTACACTGAAAATGTTGCTTGTGGTTGTTCCTGGTATCCACATAGACCACCCCCACATTACCTCTTGCTCCTCTCTCACTGTGCTCTGTAAAAAGCACCTCACAGTTCACCACCTAACACCAAGCCTACTGCCCACTCCCCTCTCAGTGGCTTCCCTTTGGCCTCAGAACCTCATGCTTGCACCCTCTGCCCCAGGAGTTTCCTAAGGACCAAAAGCCCATCGCCAAGTTGTTAGCTCAGCAGGCTAGCACCCGGCTGAGTTCTTTCTCACCCCCCCGCCCCCTTAGCTGGAAAGTTACTATTTCATCTGATTGTAGGTTGGGCAAGCTCTCCTAGTTGGTTTGTTAGGAGAAACATTTCATCTCCTGGAATACTGTATCCAGGGAGCAAGTTTATGAAATCTGTGCATTTAAGCTTCCAGATTAGTGAAATATTGCAGTCATTCCAAAGGTTCCAATGAATAAGGAAACAAACGCTCAGGGATGTATCACTTAGTTGTCTTGAATCTTCACATTTTGGCACATTTGCCTCATTTTATATGACTGTTATTACTGATGCAGCTGAAGACTCTGAGTTTATAATCCCAACCCCATTCTTCCTCTTCTCTTCCCATGGGAACCAGCAACTTGAACTTGGTGCCCTTGTCTCTCTCATGCTGCAGGTGCTTGTATTCACAAGTAATGCACAGTTTCATCCTGCTTTAAAACTTAGCAAACGAGGGCCTGGCAGCATGGCCTAGCGGCTAAAGTCCTCGCTTTGAATGCACCAGGATCCCATATGAGGGTTGGTTCTAATCCTGGCAGCTTCACTTCTCACCCAACTCCCTGCTTGTGGCCTGGGAAAGCAGTTGAGGACAACCCAATGCTTTGGGACCCTGCACCCGTGTGGGCGACCTGGAAGAGGTTCCTGGTTCCTGGCTTCGGATCGGCACAGCACCGGCAATAGCGATCACTTGGGGAGTGAATCATCGGATGAAAATTTTCCTCTCTGTCTCTCCTCCTCTCTTATATCTGACACTGTAATAAAAATAAATAAATCTTATAAAAAAACTTACCAAATGAATTGCTATTTCCATTTATTCACATTTTTCCTGTACTTCACAATGTAGCATTATATACTTACTCTTAATATTCATGGTTTAGGATTACTAATTGTTTATGTGCTCATCTAGATGAATATCTATCATGATCAACATTCTATTGTGAATAGTTGGGATTCAAACTAGCATTTATATAGGATTTCAATATTGCAGGCAGGGGCTTAACCTAGCAAGCTCAAAGCTGGCCCCTCTATAAACTTTTAAAGAGATCCTCAAAGAACGGTATCTCTTTCATGAAAACCACCACAATCTTGTGTTTCTAGTATTGTCATGGCCCTACCCTAATGTACTGTCTGCAGTGTGGCTCCAGACTGGCTCAGCTGGCTCCAGGAGATAGCTTTATTTACCTGGCCTATTGTTACTGCTTTAGACTGCTGTTTAAAATAGATTTATTTACCTGAAAGCCATGAGTTACAGAGAGAAATATGGGAAGAGAGAGACAGAGATAGAGAGAGAAAGCAAAGAGAGATCTTCCATTTGCTAATTTACTCCCCAAATGGCCGTAACTGATGGGGTAGGCCCAGGACAGACCAGAGCCAAGAGCCTGGAATTTCTGGATCTCCCACAGGAGTGCCAGGGTCCAAGCACTAGGGTCTTCCACTCAACCATTCCTTTTTCATCCATTCTTACGTCCTACAAACAAGTGAGGAGACAGGTTAACCAGCTGCTCCACTTCTGATTAATTACTGGAAAGTCCCCGGGAAGACACAGATGGTTTCCTAATCACTTGAGCTCCTGCCACTCATGTGAGAGATCTAGACTGAATTCCTGGTTCCTGGCTGTGGGCTGAACCAGCCTTGCTGCTGGGGAAGAACATCTCTCTATCTCCCTCTCCTTTAAAATATTCAAGTAAATAAGTCTTTGATCAAAAGGTAAGGTAGCCATGCTGTGCTCTGGGAGCTTGAGAATGCTAAGGGAGCAGTTAGAGAAGAGGCTGAGGCCTGGACACAAAAGTCCAAGGGGAGGGAAGCAGTAGGGGGCGCTACTAGAAAACAATTGGAGGGGCCAGCACCGTGGCATAGTTAGTTAAGGACCAGCTGCAATACCAGTACCCTAACTAGGCACCAATTCAAGCTCTGGGTGCCTCACTTCCACTACAGCTCCCTGCTAATGCGCCTAAGAAAGTGATGGAGGTTGTCCCAAGTACTTGGGACCCTGCCACCCATGAAGAAGCACCAGATGAAGTTCCTGGCTTCCAGCTATGGTGTAGACCAGCCAGCCACCTGCGACATTTATGAGTCATCCACAGGATGGAAGATATTGTGCGAACATCTCTCCTCTTTCCCTCCTCCCCTCCCTGCTTCTGTTACTCTCTTCTCTCTGACTGCCTTCCAGATAATATCTTTAATAGTTGTTCCCCAAGACAGAAAGTAAGCATTGGGGGAAGGAGGACATTCCTTCTGGCCTGCACACATTCAGTTTGAGATCCTATGTCTGGTGAACGCAGATGAAGATGTTGGGTCATCCAGTGGATATGAACATGGGGGCTCAGGAGACCAATGTGGGATGGAGATGGAGGCACAATATTCCCCATTGTTGCTATCCCAGAAGCCCCCAGCCCTGATATATCAGAAGCCATGAACATCAAAGGACTATTCAGAGGAGCGAACGTGAGAAGAACTTTGGAAAACAACTGCTTTTAAAGGATGTGTTTAGGAAGAGCAGTCTGTAAACATACTATGGGACAGATAAAATATCTTGGATTAGGAAAAAGCAACAGGCCATAAAAATTAAAGAATCCAAAATGTCTCCAACTGTCCTTTTACCATCTGCAAATGAACTGGTGAGTTTGTTGTTATAATCTGACTAATGCTTATCAGGACAACTCAGAAACCTCAGAAATGGCATGGCATGGCATGCTGGCCTCTGCTTGACCTGCTTCTGCCCTGACAGACCTGAGCTGTCTGCCTTGCCTTAGGGACAAAGACTGAGTAGAAAAGATGCAGCTGCTGGTCTTGCTGACAGGCTCATGGGTATTGTAGTTTTTATCTTGGGCAAAACTCTGGGTTTCTCCTGTGAGCATCCTTAACAGCATGTTCTGAGGCATGCATTTGGTGAGGTGGTTTATCTGCTGCTTGATGTCTGCATCCCAAACTGGAGTGGAGGGGTTTGATATCTGGCTCCACATGCCACTCCAGATCCCTGGGGGTGCGCACCCCAAAGGTCATCAGAGGACGACACAGTGCTTGGGTCCCAACACCCACAGGGAGGCCTGGATGGAGATCCCAGCTCCTGACTTCAGCCTGGTCCAGCGTTGGCTATTGCAGGCATTTCACAAGTGAAGCAAAGAGTGGCTTATTTCTTTTTCTCTCTCTCTCCCCAAAGTAAGAATATTTTAAAATCAGCATGTTCCACTTATGAATTGAAAGTTTCAGTGAACTGCTCCTCATAATGCTTAAGTGTATAATGAAAAACACAAGGATCCACACTGTGAGATTGTTGCAGTGAGCAGAAAGACGAAGATCATTTAGGAAGAAAATGTCTAACAAATAGAAATGATGAGTTACACATTTTCTATGTCAAAAGTTAATGTTTGCGAAACATAGAAAATGATACTTAGAGAAAATGTTCACCAAGTTACTTTTAGGCAGATAGAAACCCTTCTCATTTCTGTGGAAGTTAAGGCACCTCCCAGTTGCTCACATTCATGCAAAGAGCTCCATGGAGCCCACCACCCTGCTCTGAGCTGTGCCGGGTGGACATGAGGCCTGGTAGTGAGTCTGTCTGCAGCCAGCACTGAAGGCCCAAGCAACAGCAGGACGCACCACTTCCTTCTCTACCCTCAACTGAGGCCCCGCCCTCCTGCCCCTGACCTAGGCGTCTGGCCACCAGGTCCTCACTTGGCTGCCTGCCCTGAGGACACGGCCATCAGACAGGATGTCACCGCTGGAAGCATTTGCCTTCTTCTCCTTCTTGGCTTGTGAGTCAGTCTGGCCGCTTCAGTCTAGAGGAGTGGCTAAAGCAATTCTTTAATATCTCTTTTTCTCTGTTCAGAATTTCACTGTACATTCTCATCTTTTACTTACAGCTGGACTTGGATTATCAAATGTGGAGCAGTCACAGATATCTGTAACTGCAAAGGTAACGAGAAGTGCTGTCATATTTTGCAAGGTATCAAGTACAACATTTGACACTGAAACCATTTACTGGTACAGGCAGAAATCAGATCAAACTTTGGAACACCTGATTCAGATTGCCTCAATAAAATCCCCAGTATACACCAGTTTCAGTGGGAAGCGTAACAAAGCTGAAGCAAAAAAGGATTCTCAAACTTCCTCTTCAACCCTGACCATCAACTTCCTAGAAAAAGACGATACAGCCACTTACTACTGTGCTGGCTGGTCTCACAGTACTTGAACTATTACAACATTCTGCACAAGATCTGTGCCCACCACATCCTTCCCAAGAGAAGCAAGTACTTCAGCTCCCTGGCTGGCCTTCTAACCTCAGGCCTGCTTTCTCTGAAGATCTTTCTAGGCTTTCTAGGAAACCATCATGTCATGTGCCCACACAACAGTTCCCGGTTCACATTACCCAGGCACTGGGCTTCACCATCTGCACTTGACATTATGTTTCCTAATGACTTGATGACTGAGAGGTGACTGCTGTGCTTTCCATCAACTCACCATCTACAGACATGAGCCAGTGGCCAGGGAAAGGCTGTGATGGAATCACGGAGAGATCTATCACCACAGTGACAGGGAATCTTGCCTATTACTGCCCTGGATCAAGGCGAGCCCTCTGTCACACAACAGCCCTTGGCCTATTTTCTGTTAAACACATGAAAGCTTAGAGTTGAAGCTTAATGATCTGCTGAAGTCAAGGAATCGTGCTTTTTGAGCTGAACAGTTTCAGGGTTGCAACTGGAGGCAGAGCAAGGTTCCTTTTCCTGGGATTTAGGGGAATTGGATTCTGTCCACATGGCATGTGTAGAAGAGACCTCTGAATCAAGAGGGTGTTAGATGAGGGTGGCATATGGGGCTAACCTTTCATTCTGCCCTTGATAGAAGAAAGAACAACAGGTACATTTAGGTTGGGACGTGTTTAGTGGGGGACATTCTCTATTAATGCTGATCATTCTTTTCTAATGTTAGCACTCTTAACCCACACCTCTTTAACAGTTTGTTCTATTTTTCTCCTCAAGCACATCTGATGGAAGACCAAAGTAAAATACGAATGTGGCTGGGCCAACAGTCAAGCCCCACAGTTGGTATGGCAGAAAAGGGTAGGGTCTAGATAGCCTGACTTGGCTTAAATGTTAAACCAATTGCTTCTTAAGCACAGGAAGGCAAAGGAACAACACATTTATCCTAATTAAGCACAGAAAATCTACTTCTATAAAGGATTCTGTATTCTGAAGCATGGCTTGGGCAGTTAGGTATGTTCAAAGGATGACAAAGATATTATTTAATTGGCAGTTGACTTTTTCTAAAAAAGCAAGAATATTTTTATTTTCAATTTGTGTAATAACGCATGCAATGAGCTTTTAAGAACTATAGCAATATCTTTATAAGCTATATATGTCGTATATACATATATATGTATATGTTTTTATACATGTATATAGAGAGATATATAATCGAAAATCAGATATTACAAATAAAAAGAGAGAAAAAACGAAAGAGGGAGACATCCTATCTATTGGTTCATTGCTCAGATAGTTGCAATGGCTGGAGTTGAGCTGATCCAAAACCAGGGGCTAGGAGCTATCTCTGGGTCTCCAACGTGCATACAAGATTCCAAGGAATTGGGACACCATCCACTGCTTTCCTAGTCCATGAGCAGGGAGCTGGTGCAGAAGTGAAGCAGCCGAGACACAAAGCAATGCACACATTGGATGGTGCTGTTGGCAAGTGGAGCATTGTCCTGGTGAGCCACTTCATCAGCCCTTTTTAAATTTCTTTTTTACAAGTAGTATTGTGTGGGAGATCGCCCCTGGATATCGATGCCCTGTACCCGCAAGGGAGACCTGGATAAAACTCCTGGCTCCTGGCTTTGCTCTGGCCGAGCCCTAGTCATTGGGGACATTTGGGGAGAGAACCAGTAGATAGAAAATCTCTTTTTCTCTCTCTCTTTCTCTCTCCCTTTCTCTCTCTCTCCCTTTCTCTCTCCCTTTCTCTATAATTCTGCCATTCAAATAAATAAATTTTTTAATATAGAAAAAGACCTTAAAATGTATTTTTTTATAAATAAGATGGTAGAATAGGGTAAGGATACATTTAGACAGACAGATAATCATTAGCCAGGGTGAAGCCGAGGCTGGGATCCCAGGAAATATAAGAGGACAGGTTGACAGCAGAGACCCATGGGCACACAATAGCAGCACAAACAGGGGAGCAGTATTGCAGTAATCATATATTCTAGCTGTGGTCAGCAGTTGGCAATTGGTGCTCCACATGTAGTGAAGTATAAAAGGGAATTCACCAGAAGTTCAGGAGGCAAACCCAGGCATAAAACCACCTGTCCTGCTGATTTGCTTGACTGGATCACAAACAGAGACGCAGAACCCACACAGGCAGGAGCACGGTGGATTTCATGGCTCAGACCCCTACCAGTGCCATTTCATTACATATTAAGCAACAAAGACTTTAAAATATTCCTCTATGTGACATATGTTAGTAAGACAGGTCCAAGGCAAGGAGAAATAAAAGCCAAGTTCTCAGACTGCTCTGTCACACCAGTTGGCACCTGCAGTCTCGCCCCTTCTTGGAGGCATAGCCACAAAAATGAAATTGACTAAAACAAAAGCACATACATAATACTCCGTGCTTATGCTGATAATGACCATGAGATCTTTCCCCATTCAATTTTTGTTTTGTTTTGTTCTGTGGCAGGAAATGGTCAGGTTTCATCTCTGAGTCTTGAATCAACAGGTCATCAAAGAAAGATAGACGTGGGAACAAACACAGCACCTGCTTCATATGTTCCTTCATATTCCCAGTGCAGTGTTTCCACAGCACGGAAGGAACTGCAGGATGAATGGGGGAGCAGCAGGAGAACCACCCCGTCTCACTCCCAGATGCACACATTCACACTGGGGATTTCTTCCCAGATAGTCAAGCTATTGCCAAATCTGCCCAGCACACATGAGGTACAGGAAACCTCAGATCTGCTCATAACTCTAGCAAATCTTGAAAAAACACGAGGGAACCACATGACCCTGCACCCCTTCTGAGACACCAGAACAACTTCCTGCCGTTGACTTGACTTAGAGCTAACAAGGTCCTCATTCTCTTTTCTTCTTCCTGGGGACCCAGCCTGGCAGGCAGCATGCCATTCCTGAAAGCACTCCTTGTGTCCTCCTTCTGGGCCTGTGAGTTTCCCCCAATCATTTCATCCTCCAGGAGAAACTCACGCCCTTCTTTTCTGGTGCTTCTTGTGTCTCATTTGTTCTTAGAATTTCTCTTCTTTGCTTGCAGTTGGACTTGGGCAGTTGCAGCAACCCATGCTGTTAATTTCCAGAACAGCAGACCGGAGTGCCCACATATCCTGTAAGGTGTCCACCCAGAATTTTGATGATGAAGTCATATTCTGGTATTTGCAGAAACCAAATCAAGGCATAGAGCACATACTCTACATCTGGAAAAGTCGCATTGGTGATGAGAGCCATAAATTTGAGGCTAGTAAAAATTCAGATACTTCAACAACAGACCTGAAAATAAATTTCTTAGAAAAAGGAGATGAGGCCATGTACTACTGTGCTGTATACCACTGGGTAGACACAACATTAGAGTTATCAAGATAAGCTTTACAAGAATCATCTCTATGTCTGTGCCTTCCCACATCCTTCTACATGTGAGCAACCACAACCGACTGCACTCCCTAGCACCCGGCCTGAGCTCCCCTCCCTGTAACACTTCTGCAACTCTCTAGGAAGACATCTAGGATTCTGCTTTCCTTTGGTGCTCCATATGGTGTTAGCAATCCTGGTCCAAACGAAGAATGACTTGGCACTTTGGGGATTCTGAAAACAGAAGTGGATGGACAGAATCAGTGTATAAGGTCCATTTGGCATCCTCTAAATGCCAATCAATAGGTGGGAGCCACAGATCAAAACAAGGAGGAGGCAGTTCCATTTCTATAGGACAGTGTTTTTTGTGTCTAATTTCTGGAGAGAAATAGTGAGTTAATATTTAATCTTGGGCCCAGCATGGTAGCGTAGTAGCTGGAGTCCTTACCTTGAATGCACCAGGTTATCAAACAGGTGCAGGTTCTAATCCCGAAGGTCCCACTTCCCACCCATTTCCCTATTTTTTTTCCTGAGAAGGCAGTCAAGGACTGCCCAAAGCCTTGGGATCCTGCACTTGCGTGGGAGACCTGGAAGAAGCTCCTGGCTAATAGCTTTGCATCAGTGCAACTCCAGCCATTGCAGCTGTTTGGGGAGTGAATCAGTGGACAGCTCCTCTTCTCTGTCTCTCCTTCTCTATGTATATCTGACTTTCCAATAAAAATAAATAAATCTTAAGAAAATATTTAATCTCAATGAGTCTGAAATGATGGCATATCTACAAATTAATGATGAGACAACATATTACATAGCCTATGCATGTGCAAGTCTACTTTATGTTATAAAATCTATAATGAGTGCAAAACTCTGCTAGTTACTTTTATGTTGCTGAAAAGCATAGGTCTTTTTCCCACTATCTTGATCAAGAAATTCCCAGGTAATCCACAGGAAGATGTCATGTCCTTCTATCAGTAGGGCCACACTGGTACTGAAATATTAAATATAGGTGAACATGCAGTGGGAAGGGAAATGGAGTTAATTGAAAGTCACTACTTCTGTACATACTCCCAACCTCATAGATAGGAAGTGCTCTCCTGTGCATGGTGCTAGGTTCCCTGATCTGGTGTGTAGGGGGAGAGGTGGTCCTAAGGAATGGAGGTGGACAGATAAATTAGATCTGCCTCCTCAGCATTGTGTATGGAATCCACCTGCCCACTTCTTGTTTCCCTGACACAAGCTCAGAACAAACTGCCTCCTGCCACAAACTGAACCCTGCTAGCCACAGCATCCTGGTTTCTCTACTTCTCTTGGGCACAAGAGTCTGGCAGGAGCATATCAGTGCAAGGAACTAATATTTTCTCCCTCTGGCATTGGGGTTGCTCCTAATCATTTCATTCTGTATTACAGATGGAAAAAGCTTTTACTGCACACTTCATTATCACTCAGATGTTCATAAAGATTTATTTTCTCTACTTACACTTGTTCATGGAGGGTAAAATTTGGCACAAATCTAAAACATCAACATCCAGGACAAAAGGATGTTTTTACCATCTTGCAAAATCCAGGCAGGGTTCTCAAAATGAGGTCACCACTCCCACCAGCTGAAACTACCATCAGTTTCAGCAACACTTGATCTCTTTCCTTGACAATGGTACCTGCTTGTGTCCAGTAGCTGCTGCGGCTAGCAAGGACAGCTACTACTCCTTTCAACTTTGAAAATAAATTTCATAAAGATACATATGAAGCCACATGCTAATGTTCCCGCCAAGCCAAATCATCTAGGCTTGCACTCTTCTTGGGTCTCAGCAGGATGTCACTGCTGGAAGCATTCATCTTCTCCTTCCTCTGGGATCACAGCTGCTCCCCAATCATTCCTGCAAGCATCACTACATAGAAGGTGTTCGCAAGAGTTTTTGCTTTATTGCCTAGCTAGCTTTGACATTCAACCTGGAAATTACCTGAAATACTAATTTTTAAAGTGTTATAGGATATAAGCATCCAAATACTATGCAGGGTGACTGCAAGTCCCTCTTCTGCTTAAAGCACATGTTCCTCACCACCACCACCTCCACCACCTGCTTAAGTTTTATTAGGTGTGTGAATTGAAAAATTAGAGTGTGGTTTGCAAAGCTGAAGTTTACTCAGCTAAATAAACTGAGGGTTTAAATCCGGGAATAACTAACCAGCCATTTAAATCAGCTGTTCCACAAGCCTCAGTTTAACTATAGGTTTTATACTTCTTACAGGTAGGGCACACACATTGAATCAGATTTAAATGTGGCTGTCAACCACCAAGTCAGCATTCATTCTGTTCGGGCTGCAGGTGAATGGAGAGGGAGCTCAGTGCTTAACCTGGGGAAGGGTTACAGGTCATCCCACACTGAGGGTTGTGTTACAGCCTGGCCAGCACCTTCTCCTAGGAGGGTGGGCATTGCACAATCCCACGACACAGTAGCCACTCCATCAGGATCTTTGGGTGGTGGGATTCTGCCTGTGAACGCACTTAGGATTAAGAAGCTGATAATTCATTGTTGCTTGCTGTGTGCCAGATACAGTTCTAAACCCTTTAGGATAGCTCATGTCATCTTTTGACAACACTTTGATGTTGGAAGTTTTCAAGGTGCTCATTGAATGGTAATATGCAAGAGTAAGAATCTGAATTAATATTTACTTTGGCTGGGTTAACTACTTACAAATCCGGGTAACACCTAAGTTTGTTCTCCCCTTAGCCTGCTTCAAGTTTCAAGAAATATAGTGAATGGACCCAGAGCAATGGCTCAATGGCTAAATCCTCACTTGTAAGTGCAAGAATCCAATATGGGCAGATCATGCCTTTGCTCTTCTGCTTCCGACCCAGCTTCCTGCTTTTCTCTTGGGAAAGCAGCAGAGGATGAATGAAAGCTCGGAACCCTGTCCTTGTGAAATACCCAAAACTAATTGCTTAGATTTTGGGCTTTGGGTTGGCTCAGTTCTGGCTATTATGGGCATTTGGCGACTTAAGTAGTAGATGAAAGATCTTTCTGTCTCTCCTTCTCTCTGTAAATTTGATCTGCCTTGCAATTAAAAGAAACAATTTTTTAAAAAGAAGTATATTAATAAGCAACATTCAAATATCCATCAACCAAGAGGCATAACCAGTATAAAATCTGAGCTGATACATTCCCCTACCTCCTTAACACTAATGAGAAAATAGTAACTTCAGTTCTTTAAGAAGACAATGGTTTCTTTATGTATAACAATGAATAATAATGATAGAAATCTGTTCAACAACTGAATTACAAAAATAAATTCATCAAGATGTTTCAGTGAAATACTGTGAGATCCTTTCTCTGTCATCTGCAAGATTTCCCATTGTGTGTCCAGAGGACCACTTCCTCTTTCCGCAGCAGGCATCAGACTTGCTCTGTGATTACCCCAACAATCACTCCTCCCCAGACAGATGCCAGAAGAGTATTACTCCCTCCTTCTGCCAGATGTCATAGTAGTGTGCCTTTGGAATTGTCAGTTGCTTTAGCCAAAGGCCATCATCTCATTCACTCAAAGGACAGAAACAGTGTGAACAATCAAATAGCAACATTTTCACAGAGAAAATGCAAACTTCAGACTCCAAGCTCTGCATTAATAGAGAACAAACACATATCACTTTACTGAACCTCCAAGTTATACAAGTTTGAAGTGTTTCAAAAATTTTTGTCTTTATTCTTCTTTCACATACAAGTACATACTCATAGTAAAACTTGTAACATCCACCACGAAGAAAAAGGAAATATGGCATTTGTTGAATTTCAAAACAACAAAAGCTTCCTCAACAAGATTGTGTATGACCACTAGTATCAACAGAAGCAAGGCCAGCCTCTCACATGGATTCTGTATATTTCCTATGAAGGAATGTCATCAATGAACACAGTGTTCGCCAGGAAAGACACAACAGCCAGGAAACCACAGAATGACCTGTCTTTGAGCCTCAGAATACATCAGGTTGCTGGGGCTGACGCACACTCTATTACTGTGCCTGGTGGGTTATACCACCTCAAGTGCTTCACTGTAACTGAACAATTTGCCTTCTCCCCTACCCCCACCCACATCACTAACACCACTGCAAACACGAACACTCACAGACCTCTTCCTTCTACTTCCCAAAGGAGTCTGCTCTCCAAAGAGTGCTTTTCTTCTGCACTTATGTCCTCAGCAGAAAGACATAAAGGTGGGACCCATGATGCTACTTTCAGTTAGAAAAGTTACTCTCCATTCTTCCTCTCCAGGATACATACTAGATTTAGTAAGTTCCCAGAAGCACTTTTGCTTCCCTATCTGTGCCATGCCTCCTCACAAGGAAGCCATAATACAGTAACAATGTGGTCTGTTAACCTGGAAGGAACGAATGATGAAAAATAAAAAGGATTTGAGTGACATGCTTATACTTGAAATTCTTGCTTACTTACTGACAGCAGGGGAAAGATACATTTGGATGTTTCATTCTGCTTCCCCAGTTTTAAGTGCAGATGTGTAAATCATCCCTTAGGGTTACTAAAAGGTTAGTAAAGCCATATAAGAAAGGTGAACAAATCAGTGTATTCTTTCCCAGTACGACTGAATCACTTCATTGAATAATCTCCACATTGTCCTCCAGACAACAGTAAAGTGCAGCTTTAACTAAAAAACCAACAAGTATGTGTGCAAAGAGTAGAAACTGATGACCCAAAAGGATATTTCTCCAACATCTTGCTCATTTAAAATAAAGCATAATAAAATCACAAATTACAAACCAAGAATCAAGCCAATTGCTAGTCTTTATCTAACCATGAACTTATGGCAAGCTACTAATCTAAAATGTATACACCAATACATCAGTATCTTATTTGTTAGCATGTCCAGTAATGATAGTTTTGTACTCATTTATGATAGGTATGCAAAACTTCTCAGAGCTCTTAAAATATGACCAGAGGCAGAAAAATGTCAAAGGCAAGTGTATCTGAAGCAACACTTCAAGGAAAATTGGAACTGAGTTCTCCCAAGGAGAAGTGAGCATTGACTTGTTTTAAGACTGGTGTTTTGATGAGGTTTCGGGGAGTCGCAGCTCCTTTATGGTAAAGACATATTAACGTAACACTGACATCTCTCTATAAAGGACTTTCATTGGTTTGAAAAAAAAAAAAAACTTCCCCCTTTCCTACTTAACCTGTCTCTGCATATCTAGTGCTGTCACTCCATCTTAGTCCTAGTTCACATTCTCTTGCATGCACTGTCTGTTCCCAGTAATTCCTGGCAATGCTCACCCCATGGGTTTTCCTTGTGTCTTTGGCGTGGGTTTGTACGTTAATTTACTCCTTCTTGGCCTTTCATTTTCTTTGTGCAGTCTCAACTGTGTGGTGCCTCTGATTTCTCTTCTTGCTTTGCAGGTGGAGACACCAACATGAAAATACTCCAAGACCAACTCTCTTTCACCCGAAAATCAGATAGAACAGTGCACATCAGTTGCCAGATCTCCGGAGTAACCTTCAAGAATGTCATTGTGCACTGGTATCAACAAAGAGAAGGGGAGCCCCTGAAACGGATCATTTATGGTTCGGCCAACAATTACAAACAAGACATGCCCAATTCCCGCTTGGAGGCTGGTGACAAGGACAATGGTATCTTTTACCTGATCATCAATAATGTCATCAAATCAGATGAGGGCACATACTACTGTGCCTGCTGGGATCCCACAGTGCCACAGAGTCAGAAGGGACCTGTAAGGAAACCTCAGTGATTCTCCTTCAATGGGCTTCACACTCCTGCAACCACCTCTGAGTCTCCAATGCTCCTGTCACAGGTTCACATGCTTGGAGCAGGGGTGAGGGCTCTTGAGAGTTATTGAAGCCAATGCTTCCCCCTTCAGGGGGGCTCTTGGGACATACTAAGTCAATGCCTTCCCTTTCAAATGAGGAAGCAAGTGGCTTGTCTCATGGTTGTTAACAGAGGGGCGGTCTAACATCTGCATGTCAGAGTCTCAGTTCAGGGTCTTTTCCTGCCCTACTTGTGGTCAAGGTTTTTTCATTTAACAAAACTTCATTTGTTTCTAAAGACAGCGGTGACATCTGTGTCTCTCTGTGTAAGCAATGGCTTAGCTTGAATCAGGCCTGATAAAGGTCTAGAGTTTAATCCCCATGATGCTGAGAAGGGGATATGGATCAGCAAATGCTCCATTGCCTCCACAGTCTTCCCATTCATACTTAGTTCGCTTCATTTGGAGGTTTCCTGTCTGTCCTCAAATTGCCAATAGCTGGCATAGTTTTCTTGGCACATGTAACAAAACCAAATTATTGATTCCAAGCTCACTCCTTCTCCTCCATATCTACTCCACAGATTATTTATTTCCAAAATGTTCATATCTGAGTAAGTGGCTAGTACTTCAAAAAGGTGTTTTTGAAAGACATCATTGAAAGAAAATTTTTATTTTGGTGCAAAAATTAAAATCCATGCATAGTTTTTTCATAATTTGCATCTGTTATGTATTTGATGAAGATTTTTGAAGATCCCTCATACTTTAAAAGGTAAAAATTCTTATGATTCCCACTTTGTAAGAATCAATGTTTTACGTTCCTCTATCCCATTCCCATTTCATGCTTCTCCACCCGTTAGATGCAATTGGTATCATACTTTCTAACACGGATATGGCCTCTAATTTTAATTTTAGTCTACTTGAAAGTGATTTTCTATGATTGTGAAATGGAGAGGTTGCTTTTGGTAACAGATGACCACTATCCTAATGGCAGTGTTTAAATCATTTATCAATTTCCTTCAGTTTGAATATGCCACATAGTATTTCAAATATCCACAAATACTTGCAACATACAAGAATATCTATAGAATATCTGTTTTTTCATCTGTTTCATATTTTTAGGTCAGTGGTTTTGTAATAGGTATTAAAAGTTACTGCCAAATATCTCTTCATTCCTGTTTCAAAAAATCCTTTTTGAATTATCTTTATTCATCTTTAAAGAATTTAATGTCATCTATCTAGCCTGCCTTTAACCCTCATACCTCAGAGCACAACTGTAAATGTCCTATTATTTCTGATTGCAATGTAACTCATTTAAATAAGAATACAGGAGGTATTGGCCTCTTAAGAACAGGTATTTTTCCTTCATGATTATATGTCTCACTATTTATCCAATTTTTCTCATAGGCATTCTAATGTGTTGTTCATGAACTTGTGCATTCTTCATAAACATTTTATATTTCCTCATTAACTTAATAAATGAATTTATAATTCACTGCTTTCTCTCTTGCATTTTAGTGAAGAAACCCTTCATGGTTTTTGACATACAGGAAGCTCTTACAACTTTTAATAATTTTCCTCGTGATCTCAGAATGAGGAAAACCAAAGGATTCAGAGAAGAATGGGCCTCCTTCACACCTGCCTGGGTGCAAGGGGTCACCAACAGTTCCAAGTTACACTAACTCAGAGCCGCATTTTAAAAAATCATTTCCAAATGTGATTTTCATCTACTCCCCTCATCCCCCACCATCTTCTGAGATTGGCTGTGGGCTGCCCCCTGCAGCTCTGCTCTTACCTTTATGACAGAGATCAAGTCTGCTCGCAGGACATAAGCCAGGACAGCGGGCTCTGCAGTGGACACAGAGGTCATCGGGGCCTTTTCTGCTCTGCCCTTCCAACTGGACACCTCATCAGATTTGGAGGAAGCACTCACTGATTCTGGAGATATCTACCTTGTGTTGGTACCTGGGCGATTTCAGCTACTGAAGAGCTTTCTACTTTCAGAAGTACATTCCCAGATTGCTGACAGGCAGGCCCTGTGTGTGAGAACAGAATGTCTTTTCCTTTGATGCACCCTTGAGCAGTTTCAACTTCAGCTAAACATCTGGAAATTGAAAAAAACACAGGCTTTAAATTTGAGTACTTTTCCTGGTAATTTGGAGAAGTAGTCAACTAAGAGTTTGATCCAGCTCTTCTTTCCCTACACTACATTTTTGTATTTATGATTGAACTCTTCCATGATTTCTTTCTCAAGCAGAAGCAGGCCTAGTTATATGGAATTTATTATCAAGCATCATAAAAACATATTCAAGGACTTTCAGAGGAACCCATATGAGATTACCAGGACAATGGTATGAAGAACCTCCACCATGTCATGAAGCCAAGCAGAAGGCTGAGATTTTTTTGTAGAAATTGTCACCATTGTGATGCTGCAGGCTGATCAAGCTGTTTGGAAAGAGAACCAGGCTCATAGTCATTCCTCCTGGTAAGTACCTTGAAAACGTTTTATTGTAGTAAAGAAATACTGATGGAAACTTGATCTCTGTCTCTTTCTGACAGTCTGTTTCTCCAGTAAATAAAAGTAAATATGCATTTTAAAAAATGGAAAAATGTTACAATGACTACACTAAAAACAACCTAAACTGTTTCCAAAATTTATTTGACAAATGGTGAAATGAAGTACACAAATATAGTCAGGTCATTCAGCAAAAGAGTAAGACTGAAAATTCTAAGAAACAGAAGAAAAATCTGTGATTATCTAGCAAGACACACAAATTTTATTCTCAATAGTAAAAGAAAAACAGTTGTATATGAACATTTTAGTGATTGCAAAGAAATATAGTAGAATTTCAGAAATGGATATCTTTTCATGATAGAATTATTGCCCGGCGCGGTGGCACAAGTGGTTAAAGGTCATGATAGAATTATAAAGGGATGTCAGAGCATGTGTCTTTTAGCAGAAAAGTACAGTAAATGATAGGCAACATTTTCAACATCATTTGTTCAGGGAAAGGGGCATTTAAGTAAACCCTTTGTATAACATTATCATTGCCTTAGTGTTGTGGAATTTTAACATCCCATGCCTTGCAGAGTTGGGAAAACCCAACATACATGTCAGGAGGGCACCATTCAGTGATCTAAAGGAGCAGGTGGATGATGGATTTCTTGCCTGTTTCCTGCCACTTCTCTAGCCTTTCTGCTCGAAGGGCCAGAAAGGAGGTCCTACTCAGACTTTGGCATGAGCAGGATACCAGTCAGTTGGAAGCTGACTTTTCTGATAAAAACATGGGCTTCCAGTATACCATTCTGTGGATTGGGAATAAAGCCGTTTGTTTTGGACAATACAAATGCAGCATTTCCATACACTGAGTGCATAATCAGGTGTCTGCAATGCTCGCTGGGATTGCCTTCACAGGGCAGAGAAGACAGGATGCTAGACCTGGTGCTAGAGCCTGTTGGAGACAGAGTGTGTGAAAGACAGGCTTCTGGGATGATGGTTTTGAGAATCCCAGGCACAAAAGAGCCAAGTGGAATGCAAATGCAAGGCAGAGAAACAACTCTTCCTGCTGTATTGCCGTGGAGGCAACTGCAACTCCAAAATACTGGGTCTCTGTAGGAAGAGCAGTTAGGTCCAAGAAGTAAACCTGCCCCATTGGAGCACACAATCAGTTCACACAAATTGCTAATACAACAAGGATGGCAATATAAAGGAACAACTTGTCTTTTGATAACATTGTTAATCAAATTACATTTTCACATCTTGTTTTATTTTGACTTCACCCCAGTGGTGGTAATGATGTTTAATTGACTTATAGCCATATCTCCAATTTGAAAAAAATAAAGCACCACATAAATTGATTTACTCAGCCACACAATTTTCTATGAGCAAAATTAAATGAGGACAAGAACCGAGATCTTTTGATGACCCGGGCCTGTGATCCTATTGCCACAACAGTTTGAAGAAGTCAGGGAGATTTAAACAGTCTGAAGTTTTTCATATAGGTTGAATCACTGTGGGATGCTTATGTAAAGCTCTTCAGTACTGGAACAAGGCTTATTGTCACAGGTAAGTGTCAGAAAAATGCAAATTTTACAATGTCATGGAGCAAAGGCAAGAAATGATTATATTGTAGGCAAAAGGAGGAATGTGATGGGGATTTGATGCAAAAATCTTATGATAGGTTTTGAAGCAATGCTTTGGGGGCTGCTAACTAGCAATGCCTGATTCAATTCCTGGCTATTCTGCTTCCAATTAAGGCTTCTCGCTAATGTCCCTCTAGCAGACAGCAGATGATGGGTTCAAGTGCTTGGATTTCTGTTACCCATATAGGAGAGCCAAAATGAGTTCCTGACCCCTGGCTAGGGCCTGGCCTTCCAGCCCTGGTGGTAGTGAGCTTTTGGGAGAATGAACCAGTAGATGAAAGATTCTGCCTTTCAGATAAAGTGAAAATAAAGTTGTAAGTAGATAAATGCAAATGAAAGAGAACATAGACTATGCTATGTAAATGTTGTTACAAAATTTAGTCTTATATTCCTAAAGACATCCATAATGTGCAGATGTATACTGTGCTCAATGAATTCATTCAAGTGTTTCACTCTGAAACAAAATTTATCATGGCACCTAAGTTTGGGACAGACTCAATGGAGTGGGGACATTGTTGTGTTTGATGGAAAGTTTGCATTTTGCAATCAACAGACATAGAGTTCAGGTTGCACCACTTAGAGCTTGGTGAACTCGTGAGATGATTCTCTGATCTGTTTCCTAAGCTGTACCATGGAATAATATAATGAATTCAGCGGCTCTGAGCTAGAAACAAGCCGGTGTGAATAGAGTGCTTCTCTGATTGTTCAACAATATTAGATGCCAGCAAATATTCTTCTAAGTCAAATATCAAGGGAGAGTTGTATTCACTATGGAGAGTGGTCCTCAGTCAGTAATATAAGCCAAAAATGCAAGAAACGACTCAGCTCTGCTTCTGAGTACTTAGATGGAAGACTACCTCAGCCAATCTAAATTTAAACAAATTTGAAGACATATATTTCTCTTTAGCAGACTTTTTCATTACCTGGCAGGAATTCTATTGTTTTGCCCTGTTTTTTAAATTTTAACATTTTATTTTAATTGTTATTGAAAATAACAATATTTTACTGGTCCCTAAAATTTATGGCTAGTAATTTTAACTTATTGCCTGTGAAGGTTACCTATGTATCAAAAGTTTAAACATACAGAAAATGTTCAAGTAATAAAATGAAAGAAATAAATTTGAAACTTGGCATTGTATTCAAGATTTAAATAAAATATAATGGTGAGCATTATATGCATCATGAATAAAAATTGAGTATAAGCCACTCTGTAAGTACATTTTAAAAATTACGCTTTTAAATTTCACATAATATGGTTATTCAGAATGTAAATACTAACCATATGTAATGACTATACTGTTTAATACTTAATTAACTATTTCACTGAGAAAAGTTAGATTTCAAGTCTCATTTAAAATAGTAGAAGATAAAGAATCTGGCTAATGCAAAGGGACCAAAGGCAATGAATTGTGTGTACCATGGAAGGAATGTCAAGCTCATCGCTGGATTTTTAATGGACTATAATAAGAGATATTCCCAAAGAGAAGCACAGTATCTTAATATACAAAAGTAGATTAGATAATATATTGACTAAAATTATGTAATATACCTTTGAAAAATAATTGTATCTTTCAAAGTATGGTTTTTAAATTTTACACAAGTACATATGTGAGAAACAAACAGTAACTTATTATTATAATGAATATACTATATATAGTAAGAGAAAGATTTATGAAATTAAAATGTCAGTTCCTGAGCTAGTTTTATTTATGGTATGCTCAAGAAATTAACATTAATTACTGACTAGTGAAAATTGGGAACACTGCTACAAAGCTGGAAGTGATTAAAAAAAATTGCTTTCCTTTTCTTTTTTAATGAGAAATCCAGTTCCTCTTTCCTTAAGAAATTGCCTTTTGGACTAGTAATTTCAAACAAGCCTAAGGAGATGATTAGCCAAACTTTGGAGTTTTAAATGGGAATCCAATCAGATATAGCTCTAGTATTTATAATTTCAGTCACTAGATTAAGACCCAATGTACAGCCATCCAGTTAAGATTCCAGATCCGAATGAGATGCCTTGTAAATACATGAGGTATGCTTACATATTTTTCAAGAAACCCTGGAACTATGACTTTTAATACTGCATCAATTACATGTTCCTTGGTTCAGTAGGTTGAGATAAAGGAAACAGTAGAACAGTGTATGTCAAAAGTCACACAGGGTAGACACAGATTGTGGGAGAAGGCTGAGAATCAAAGTACTAAGTTGCTGACAGATATACACATCCCTCATGAATCAGGCAAATGCATGTTACGGCAAATGTGAAATGCACACTACCTGGTTTATTGTCTTTTAAAATCTTGTATTGTTTTCATTTTATTTGGAGATAGAGAGACAGAAGGGCAGACTGAGAGACAGAGAGAGATTTTCCACCCACTGGTTCACTCCCTAAAGCAGCCAGGACTGGGGAACACCTCACCTCAGCAGCCAGGACTGGGGAACACCTCACCCAGGAGTCTGGAACTCAACCTGGGTGCCTTGCTGATTCTCAGCGTGTGCATCAGCAGCAAGCTAGACTGGGAACAGAGCAGCCAGAACTCAAACCAGGCACTGCCAATGGAATGTGGGCATCGCAAGTGGTGACTTCACTGCTAGGCCCAAGGATTCCCTCTTTCCAGGGTATCTTTACCTATGCTTAATCTCCAAATGAAATTTCAAAGTAAAACATATGATTGGTTTTTAGGTCTTGAACAAATCAAAATGTTGGCAACTAAATCATTTGGTAAGAATAACTCAAGAGTATTTCTAATAATAATAATAGAAATTTAAGGGAGATCATTTGCTTTTGAATTCTGAGATCTTAAGTAGAGGTGTGGGATTAAATATTGAATGCTCAAAAACTTGGGAGTGGCTTACATGTGAAAGGGATATTTTTACATAACGCTAGAAACTGACTAGGAGAATACAATGAATTTCAGAACTGTGCAGATGGGAGCCACATTTAAAGATAGAAGGTCAGCTTGAGAGCACAGGTTTCCATTAAATGAGTGACTACATATTGTTAACATTAAAGATGAAAAGCTTCTTCCTGACATTGATTCAATTGGGAAATAAAGTAATAGGGTACCTTCTAGAATCACTTGAGGAGTAGAGTTGCACAGAATTGAAGAAGAGGAAAATGTGAGTCAGGTGGCCAGGGAGAGCAGGGAAGCATCTAAAAGAGACCACAGATCCTCATAGCCAGGGACATCATAAAGTTCCCTGAGCTCTCCTGCCTCGCTAACAGCCACCTTTTGTGGACAAGCCCCAGGGAGGGGCACCAAATCAAAAGCAACTTGTCTTCCTCTTGCTATGTCGAGACAATGCCAAGCCAAGCAATGTTTGTGTTTCTCTAACAGTTCTTCCCAATATTTTATTTCCCTGCCCCACAGATAAGAGTATGGATGGAGACTTCTCCCCCAAGCCCACGATTTTCCTCCCTTCCATTGCTGAAACAACACTGCATAAGGCTGGGACCTATCTCTGTCTTCTTGAGAATTTTTTCCCTGATGCCATCCAGGTGTACTGGAAAGAGAAGAACAGCGATAAGGTGTTGGAATCCCAGCAGGGAAACACCATGAAGATTAAAGACACATACATGAAATTCAGCTGGCTAACTGTGCCTCAGAAGTCATTCAGTAAGGAGCACAGGTGCATTGTCCAACACGAGACTAAAGCAGGAGGGCGTGATCAAGAGATTCTCTTTCCTGCAATACAAAAAGGTATGTGGAAAACCCACTTACAGGGAATGCCCTACCTTATCTTCAAGTTCCAGTGAGAAATAGATGCAAGCCTTTCTTAAATACCCTAATCTCTGATGGTAATATAAATGGCCTGAAATTTTCCCATAGAATTAGAAAGGAACAGGCAGTGGATTACACAATGAAAAAATAGATATTTTATGCAAGCTTTCTTTGCCTTGGTTTCATCATCCAAAGTATCAAGATCACACAATGGTTTTAGAATGCTATGTGAAGGAAATAAGAGTTACATGAGAGCAATTGAGCAATTTAGTTTACCAAAAAAAAGCTAAAAATGTTTACACAGTTGATGATTTGACTTGATAGAGCAAAAGGAACAAGTGTGTGTTTTTCAGGAACATTCTACCAAGAAAACAACTGTTTCAATCTTCTTGTTTAGGATTTTCAAAGAGTTCATGGGAAATATGCTTTAGAAAAATTTTTAATTTGTTTTTTTTTGCGCCAGAATAAATATATCATTAAATTCCATTTAGATAAATGCTTTGAAGATCACTCACACACAAAATTTGACAGCAAACCATAAGTAATTAACTGACAAATAGGCATTCAGATCAAAATGCCATTTACATAACGACTCAATGCATACTACAATAGCCTTGGCTCTAGATTTCGATAGTATCCTTGGGTTTTCAGGTTTCTGCTTTATATACTACTATTAGGTAAATTAATCAATAAAGACTGCCAGAGGTTAATACGTGCAATCACACCTCCATTCCATGATGTTGGTGCTTCTAGCCATTAGTAAATGCAATAAAACAAGCATTTATTGTGCTGTTAGCATCTGCCAGGCCAGAGTAGAAACATGAACAAAAAAAAATTTTGCTGTGTATTAACTCAAAGATGATTTGATAAAGAAAAACAGACATAGTTTGTAATCACTTAGCATCATGCATGATTCAAGGAAGTTGTAGAGGAATCCCTCTGAGCGTCATGAGTCTTGTATCAAGATGAGCAGATAACTTTTGATGTCACGCCACTGAAAGCCGTGGCTTATAACTCACTATGTGCTTACATCTTGAAGACATAACAGTCCAAAGGCCCAGAGTGATCATGAGAAGGGTTCATTTTCTGTTTTCCTCTGTGGTTAAAATGGCCACATTTGGTTGTGCATTGCTCCAATGGGGAGCAGACATAAAACCTAACGTGAAGATTGTTCTATGCACTAGCTCCAAACTCCTAGTGGCTTTTTCTGAAAAAATTTCAAACATGAACAATTTCCTTTTAAAAATATAGCATGGGAGATTGCGTTTGTGGTGTATTTGGTTGGGCAGGAGTCCAAAATCAGTCTGTAAGTTTTAGTCCTACCTCCTCTGCTTGTGATTCGGCTTCTTACTATTGCTCCTGGAAAATCTCTGGATGACAACTCAAGTACCTGAGTTCCTCCTCCCCATGCACAAGACTTGGATGTAGTTCCTGGCTCCTGACTCTGGCTGGCTCAGGCCGATGTGCCCATTTGGGGACTGAAACCTTAGGTGGACATATCTCTGTGTGTGTGTGTGTCCCCAACCCTTTTTTCCTGTCATTTTGTCTTTCAAATATTTTCCAAACATAAATGTAGCGTTATCAATTTTATTCACATATTTATCAAACTAAATTAAGTCAGATTATAAAAACACCTGCAATTTAATTATATTGCTAAAACATTGAAGGGAGAAAACATATCAATTATAGTGCAAATTTACCCATTGTGTTCATGTCTCCAATTTGGTCTTGATTTTTCTAGTGCCCAACAAAAAATAAAATGTGTAGTAAATTCCATGGTAACCAGTAGTCACAGAGGAGAGAACTCCCAGTTTTAGAATGTGTTTCGCTTGGCACTAAATTCTCAAACAAATGCTGTTTGCTTCATTTTTTTGATGAAAGTTTTTAAAATAACAAGGAAATATATATAAATTACAGAATTGTGATCAAATTTGGAAGATAGAATGTGGTATATATGTAGATATTTTATCATAAGGAATTGCACTTTATTCCATTTACCTCAATCAATGCATGCTGTTAGTGATTTTCAGTTACTTTTAACACATAAAGGATTTTGAAAGAAAAAAAAAACCAGAATATTTAAGAGTCACATGTTCATATTAACATTTTCATTCTCACAACTTTACAAAGGTATATATCAAAATATTTTTTTAGAGCATCTAGTCATACAAACATGACTGGGTACACACAACTGCATATCCAACTCATATTTGTATAAATGAGAACATGTCTATTAGAGAAATATGAAATTGAACTCATGTGATTTCTGTTTTCTTCCAATTGTTTTAAGCAATTTTTATCTTTGTATATATGTTTGTTTATTTTTCTTAACATCTTAGATAAATATAATTCTCACCTCAAGGTTTAAAGTGATTGATGATGCTCTATTCCCAGAAAGAATTGCACTAAAATGCAAAGTTCCTGTAAAAATAACAATAAGAGATCCTCAGTTGAAATTATTAAGATGCTAGAAAAGATTTTCTTAATTCCTATGATAATGGTGGATTACATTGTCCCTGTGTAAATTACTTCCATATATTCCCTTCTTTAAAAGATCATTTGTTTTTTATTGCAAAGTCAGATTTTTGCACAGGAGATAAAGATCTCCTGCAGCTGGTTCACTCCCAAAAGGCCACAATGGACAGAGCTGTTCCGAAGCTATGAACTGGGAGCTTCTTCTCTGTCTCCCATGCTGGTGAAGGATTGCAAGGATTCTGGCCATCCACTAAGGATTTCCCAGGCCATAAGCAGGAAGCTGGAAGGGAGGTACAGCAGCTGGAACATTATCCACCCCTATTTGGGATTCCAGTGTGTGCTAGGCAAGGATTTTAGCTACTGAGCTATTGAAGTTTGACCTGGGGTGTGCTAATTTTTTTTTTCAGCTTAGATGAGAAATTTCTTTAAGCCAGAATCCTTTAACTATGAACTGTTTTATAGGTGTATGACGCAACATAGTTGTCCAGGGTGTAAAACTTTTTGCCACTTTTTTTCAGTTTACTTTTTATTTGAACAAACATCATGAAATACTTTCTTTGTAGGAGAAGCAGTTGACAGTGAAAGTAACCCCGATATTGTTGGAGATGAACAACGTAAGTACACATGTCCTTATGTCTTGCTGTGGTATATTTTTTCTCTTTGATAATATGAACCTTTAAACTTCCCTAACCTTAAGGAAGTATTCCTGCTTTGATAAGAGAAAGATACATTTCTTCCTCATGACTCTCAACATTTTCATCTACTAAAAAATCTGAGTTTTATCTACTCAATAACATAAATTCACACTGTTTCTGAAACCAGGTTCATATTTTTAATGACTGCCTCTCCTTCCTGCTGACACATATACCTAAACACACAAATATGGTGGCAGCTGATTCCCGAGCATGCCTGCCTTTCTGCGAGGAGTCGTTCCTAGTTACTGTGAGAATGCTGGTTGGAAAGAAGAAAATGCAGGTTTTGTGAAAGGTTCTTTCATGTCATGCTATGTGTGTATTTTTTCACCTGATCATCCTAAGTTTTTAATTTTCTTTGGTATAAGGAAGAGAAATCAGATGTTGAAGAGATTGAATGACATTTTAAAAGCAACCACTTTCTGTGAGTCAAATGAACCCTGTACTTTGAAGCAGGCACTGTGCTGGGAACTACAGACATGGGAGGACACCCAGCTCATGATGGTTATGCAAATGATCAGGTTCAATGGGATTTGCTTTACACTGTGTGGTGGAATACTTATCCCCAATCTTCCTAACTTTTGAACTTCCCTGCCTTAAGGCAGAAAAACCTGTTGCTATAAAAGAGGAAAACAAGTATCATACATGAACTCACTTGGCAATGACTCTAAATCAGAAAGTACACTGCCATGCTCTTACATATTGCAACAGAGACTTCATTCATTTCTGTGCCTATTGCTTTATATTATTGAAGAAAGCATAGGTGGATCATTAAAAAGACACAGCCTAAGTGCTAGTCTTTCTTGTTGTTATTGTTTTTTGACACAGTTCCATAGGCTCTGGAATTTACCATCACGTTCCTCAAGCCCCTTCCCCTTTCACTGATTTCCCCATTAGTATTAAAATGGGTGGTCCTTCATGAATAGTCGTAAGTCCATCATGCTGCTGTTGAGGTGTTTCCCAACATTGTAGGCATGCACAATGTTGGAGCCTGCATCATCCTACTCTCAGGATATTTTCAGCTGTTTCACTGGGAATACACCTTTTGTCTGGATACAGAGAGACATACTGCACTGTGTCTGCTCATCTGGACATGTCAGTCCACTACAGTACTAGTCATAGCTTTTGCTTACTAAGTATGCTAAACAAACACAAGGCACTGGCTCTCTCCTTTATTTCCGGTATCAGATGAGTTCTAGACCTCCACCACCACATCCGGCAAAAAAGGTAAAACCTTTGGCTTGACCAAGAGCAGGGAGATCCTTTTCACATCAATGGCTAATGATCCTGGAGTTCCAACTCTATGCAGACAGACCACGTGAAAGGCAAATGGACACAGGAAGTGGCCAGGCTTTGTGGCAATGTGAGTAGGCATGGTAGTCCACCACTGTAGTCTTTAATCATCTCATGACATCGTGTCCTTGTTGCACTATTTAAAAGGATTAAGTATCAACACCTAATAACACCACCACTCACTCCCATGAGATGTTTCAGAAAAAGCTTTGTCTTTCAATACCATACAATATACCATACAAGAGAATTTGATTAGCTGCTTTCCTCCATTTTCTATATTACATTTTTGCTAAGAACTGCCACTCACCCGACTGTGAACACTATCAAATTCCCACAGATTGTACCCTTCTTTAGGGCTCACTGTATGTGCAAGGTACCATGGCTCAGATGGCTGCAGATCAACAATTCAACTCTATGCATAACCTGTTCTATCTCCAGGGTGCTTACTTGCACATGGAGATGTAAGAACATATATGAAAATTTATTCTTTACAGTCTAAGCTGCACTCCTCTCTAAATATGTATCAAGGAAAGTATTGCTGTATATTCAGTCTCCTTATTTATAAAATGAGAAGATAAGTAATTCCTTTTTTTTTATTCAATGGCCATCGAAAAAAAATATACGAATCAAGTTTCATACATAGGAACCTCAGGTTTAGGACAGTAGTTATTGAATTTGATCTCTTATTACTTAGGGATATAATCTGCATGAAGAAATGCTGAATTCTAGTTTGTATAAGTAATATTTCCTCTACTGGATTTAGTCATTCAAAATTCAGCTTTGCTTTTTGATATGCGCCGTGTTCTAAGTATATTCAGCAGAGGAGGTTGTGATAAACTTGACTTGCAAGCTGAATTCCACTTTGTCTTGTTTGTCCTGGTGTGGAAGTTGGTATTAAGGGATCTTCAAGGTAGATTGTGAAAAGTAACTATCGGTGACTTCCTCCCCAACAATGTCTTATCCTATTAAAAGAACAAGTCAAACTAATTAAATAACGTCTTCTAGATGTCCTGATGCTGCAGCTCACACAGACGTCTGCGTACTACACGTACCTCCTTCTGCTCGTCAAGAGTGCTGTGTACCTGGCCATCGTCACCTTCTCGATGTTTAGAAGAACAGCCATCTGTGGTGTGCAAAGAGCTCCTAACCAATGATGGTACAAAGAGTTCATCTTTTTATGCTGTTTATTCTCTCTGGCAGTGTCTGTAGAGGATTTAGCTGGGTGTTCTTTCTGAATTTAGGTTATGTAAGCACCCATGTGTATTTTTCTGTTATGTCATCATGGCACAATGGTTTTGCAAAGCAGTGGTCAAGTAAGCCTTCACACTGTGAGACAAGGAATGGCCTAAGGTAGCTGTCACGCTACTCTCTCCAGTGCCCAGCAGCCCCTCCTGCCAACACAGCATGCACAGCCTCGGTGTGGGCAGTGTGCAGCCTTTAGATGTGCCCTTGGCATCCTTTAACTGCAAAACAGCTTGCAAGCCTCCCATGTTACACATCTTGAAGCAGCCTTCCTTGCTATTTGAATTGTCATTTTTTTTTTGCAACAGGCATCTTCAGATAAATAAATTTCAAAAACTCCAAAGTCAACATTTGTCTGTGTGTACATGAATTTGGTAAAATCCACTTGAAAGTCCATGTTAAGACATAGGCTACTTGATTCGGATGAATGATCTGTCTGATGATTTTTTGAATTCTATTGGCTAGGATTTTGTTGAGAATTTTAGCATCAATGTTCATCAGAGAAATAGGTCTGTAGTTTTCCTTCTCTGATGGTTCTCTGTCCGGTTTTGGGATTAAGGTGATGTTGGCTTCATAGAATGAGTTTGGGAGGGTTGCTTCCTCCTCTATTGTTTTGAAGAGCTTGTAGAGGATTGGGGTTAGTTCTGTTCGGAATGTTTTGTAGAATTCTGTAGTGAAGCCGTCTGGGCCTGGGCTTTTTTTCGTTGGGAGATCCTTGATGACTGTTTCAATCTCTACCTCGGTTATGGGTTTATTTAATTCTGCAGTTGCCTCCGGACTGAGTTTTGGTAAGTGGTGGGAGTCCAAGAACTTTTCTATTTCTTGGTGGTCCTCAAATTTGTGGGATACAGTTCTTTGTAGTAATTTCTAATTATTTTCTTAATGATTGCAGTGTCTGTTGTTATGTTGCCTTTTTCATCTTTAATGCTATTAATTCTCACTTTCTCTTGTTTTTTTTTGGTCAATCGGGCCAGTGGAGTGTCTATTTTGTTTATTTTCTCAAAAAACCAACTTTTTGATTTGTTGATTTTATGTATAGTTTTTTTGATTTCTATTTGGTTTATCTCCTCCCTTGTTTTGATGATTTCTTGTTTCCTATTGTGCGTGGGACTCTTCTGCTGCTGCAATAGCACTCCTAGGAATATATCCAAAACACCTGTTTTACGACAAACCAACATGCATCCCTATGTTCATTGCAGCACAATCAGTAATTGCAAAAACATGGAAGCAACCGAAATGCCCATCAGCAGAAGATTGGATAAGAAAGCTTTGGTTCATCTACTCCATGGAATACTACTCAGCTATTAAAAAAAACAAAATGCAGTTCTTTGTGGCTAAATGGGCACAACTGGAAACTATAATGCTAAGGGAAATGAGCGAATCCCAAAAGATTAGATACCACATGTTTGCCTTGATTTAACCTGTAATTTTTTGTTTGGTTGTTTGTTATTTTTTGAAACTGTCACTGATACTGTCTCAACACAGATGTTTCGAAGAAGGGAACTTGCATTATTTTTAACATATTGTTTACCCAATACTATGTCAATTAATTCCATAATGTTGTATATTGATACTGAGGCCTTGTTGGGGCTTTTAACTGACCAGATCTTTACTCTGTTAGACCTATCTTCAGACCATAGAAGGTCTCCCCAAGAGGCCACTGAACTTATCTGGACAATAAGACGCTGAACTTTATGCTAGGCATGTGTTTGCAAGCAATGAATCTCAACTGAACTTGAACTATGGTTATGCAACAAGGTGGAGGAATCCACCATGGGGGGAGGGGTATGGGAGGGGTGGGGGGAATCCCCAGCGCCTATAAAACTGTACTACATAATACAATGTAAGCAACAATAAAAAAAAAAAAAAGACATAGGCTGACAACTGTACCATGCCATTCAGTGTCACTTGTCATTGGGGCCCAACATTACATTTGTAAACTCTTGCCTGATATTGTGGTCATGACACTTTCCTTGGTGCACTGGCCCAGCATAAGATGTCTGTGGGCATTTTAAATGATATGATATAAAAGAGCTCTCTCTCTACATATACATGCCCTTTAAACAGAAGAGCAAACCCTCTACATATATTTCCTTTCAAATAAATTTAGTTTTTCAAAACAGCAAATCCTTAATTTTTATGCACACTTTTTTGGGTTTGTGGGGCGAAGGCAATGGATGGACTGTGAGTCTGAATATAGGAGGAATGTTCATGGAGATCTCAGGATGTGTGATATTCTGACACCCAGGCTCCTTCCATGTGTTTCTACCTCTTACATGATTTGGTACTGGAAAGGCAACAGGCTCGTTTCATTTTCAGCTAAAATTAAAATATTTATACAGTTCGTCAGGTTAAGAAGCTAGTGAGGAGACCTGCCCCTAACCTGTCTGTATCTTCCTCCATTGTTCCTATACTCTTCTCAGAACTAGCACCTCATATATGAACCTAACACACATAATTTCATGCAGGGGAAAATTTTTCCTACTCTCCAAATAAATCCTCTCTGCAATAGGTATGATTTATGCCCGTGGAGTGTTTGTTTTGTGAGAAGCTTTTTTGTGTTGTAAACAGGCCATAATTAATAATGCTTAATTTCCTCTTTGTATGTAAGCACTATTTAACTGTCAGTCAGAAATTCTGAGTAGTGACATACCAGATATACTATACCAATGGGATATAATTTGATAAAAGGGCAATGTACAACATTTCCTTTAGTTGTGAGGAGTTGTGTAAGTAAATGCATGGTTTCTAGCATGCATTTAGGATTTTGCTTATTTTGTTTTGCTTGAATTATTCCAGAGGCCTAATACTTGAGGACATCTCCTATTCTGCCACGCAGCTTGCCTATTTCCTCTGACTCTCCGCTGTGATGCAGTCTTAGAGTGTAAAAGTTATTAGACCTGTTTCACTGGTAAAGAAGATGGATCTGATGTATGTTTGGTGTTGTGGGTACAGGGTTCAAACCTTTGGGCCGTCCTTGACTGCTTTCCCTAAACACAGGCAGGGAGCAGGATGGGAAATGGAGCAGCCAGGACAAGTACCAGCTACGGTAATGGATCCCAACACATGCAAGGAAAGGACTTCAGCCAATAGATTACCATGTAGGGCCTTTTTTAGTGTCAATATTAATGTGTGCTTTAGCAGATTCTTTGTACACCAACTATAGGGTCCCATTTGGTAATTGAGATCAAACAAATTCCAGAAAAATACTGCTTAATTCAGATCTACTCCACGAGTCTTATGAATTGATCAGCTCTATTTAGCCCCAATTCTTGAACCTTTAAGAGACAGGACCCCACCTACGGAGCTCTGCAGTGTCTGCTGTGGTTTCAGACTTCTTAGCAACATCCTTTCTCTAGTTTCCAGGCCTGGGCAGGGTGCAGAACAGGTTTGTGGGTGGTGGAGGTGACAGCGCGTGTGGGGAGAGGTTGCTGGGGGAGTGGATGCTATTTTATTTTTCTCAGACTTTATGTGTTTATGTGCTCTCTCAAATGTGGTTGATTCGAGGAAAATGCTCAAAGCCAGACCGGTTGCTACTGGCTGAAGCTGCGTGAGGGAGGCCAGGGTGTTCAAAGAGAAAATAAGGACAGTTAAACCACAATCAACCTTGCTCATTTTCAAAAGGCCACAGCTAATGGAAAGAAAATACCCATTTTCATACACAGGAGATTGCTATCAAACTTAGACTGCTGCAGCTGGTGGGGCTCCCTGCATATGGCACAACATGTTAGCTAGCATGCGACTTGGGAGTCTGACCCTGGGGTTGTCCAGACACTGTCCCTTCAGTTCACTCTGACACTTCCCTGCAGGGAAGAACAGAGAATAATGCATGCATTAATAACATCTAACATAACTCTAACATTCTGGAGTGTTTATGCTTCTCTGACTGATTTACACACTTGGGTGCTGTTGGGTTGCATTTTCTCTGTGTTGAGCGAGCAGTGACACAAGACCCAGGCTGATGATTCTGTTAGCATGGATACACTATGGGTGTGTCAATAGGTGATGTGATTAGGAAACAGACAACAAAGGCCTGGAAACTGACTGTGTACTGAAGGCCATACAGAATCATATAGCACCTCTCTACAGTGATAAGAGGAGTCGTGAGTCAAGGTGAGGTGTAGAAGACATGAGCATCAGGACATGTGTGATTCGAGTCGGAGAGGACTGTGGTTCAGCAGTGTGAACATGCACAGTCAATGGCCCTCTCCTGGCCCCACCTAGCTTGGTGCACAGTGTGTGTCCAGGACCAGCAGGAAGGACAATGGTAGCTTGCAGAAACCATGTTAGGCTTTCCCCATCTGACCGTCCAGCACATTCCAATCATATGTCACAGCCCTGGTCAGTGCTTAGATGGCAGCCAACGTGTGCTGGAGTTATGGCTTCTCCCTGTGAGCACAGCTCCGTTCCCACCAGCTCAGCCCAGCAGGTCTGTGCAGAGCTCTCCGCTGGTAAAAGTGAGAACAGACATCAGCGTGGCATCCTCCGTGGGTCTTGTGCCCTTGCAACATTATTCCTGAGACAGGAGTTTCCCACAGAGTTCCCACAGAAGTTTGATTCTCCAGTGTTTCTCATCACTTGTCCACAGCACTGGGAGACCCAGCTCATGCAGAACACCAGCACACACCTGCTAAGTGACTGTCCAGGAGGCCAGCGTCCACCCAAGTCAGCATCACTGCCATAGACACAGAAAGGTTTTCTTGAACAGCACTGTGAACCAAGAGAAAACGCTGTCTACTGGTAAGCAGAGAGGCGAGCATTCATGTGCGAAAAAACAGCCTCTTCATAGAATGAACAGGGTGATAGTCGTAATTAAAACAATGTCTGCCACACAATGTCTGGTAAATACAAATGGATTCCTCACTCTAGAAATATGGGCTTCTAAGGTATCTCCAAATATTACAAATGTATACTGGTATGGAAAATGTCACTAAATTTTACACTAATGATACTAACGTCATACAAATAAGACAAAACCAGCAATAAGTTTATACGCATGTTCTTTGAACTCCACTTGAAATCTACAGAGGTTTGATTCTCCAGGAGACACCTGGCAGATGTTTTTCCAGATGTTTCTCATCACTTGTCTACAGCACTGGGAGACCCAGCTCATGCAGAACACCAGCACACACCTGCTAAGTGACTGTCCAGGAGGCCAGTGTCCACCCAAGTCAGCATCACTGCCATCGACACAGAAGTTTTTCCTTTTTTTAGTTATTTATTTATTTTTTTATTTTATTGTTTTTTGATACAATTTAGTTCGCACTGGGTTCTCCGCTACCTCTTCCAGAAATTTCCTCCGTTTTCCCCTTTAGGTTCTTATTGTGTGTCCATCGTGAATTTTCCTAAGTCCATCATGCTTCCTCTGGAGTATCTCCCAGCCATGTAGGAGAATAACTTTTTGATGTAGGTTAGTTATTGTATCCACGATACAGTGAGGATCATGCCTTCGTTGTTCATGGACAGTTCCAATAATAGTGACAAAGGGGACAGTGACCATCTCAGGTGACTATAAAACAATCAACCTCTTGTGGATGGTTGATTAATGAGTTACATTACAAGTTTTTGTTACATTAGGTACAGGTAAGTATGAAGTAACGCTGATTAACATAGAGTAAGATTCATATATGATATCTCTAGATTTGACATCATATTATAATATATTAGAGCAAACATATGATATCTGACCCTTTGGTTTGGCTCATTTCCCTTAGCATAATGGTCTCTAGTTTGGCTCATTTGGCCACAAAGGAATGCATTTCATTTTTTTTTAATCGCCAAATATTATCACATAGTGTAGATGAACCACAGTTTACTTATCCAGTCCTCTGTTGATGGGCATTTAAGTTGCTTCCATGTTCTTGTGATTGTTAACTGTGCTGCAAAAAACACTGGGGTGCATGCTTGCTTTGTCGTGTAACAAGATTTTGGATAAATTCCTAGAAGTGGTATTGCTGGGTCATGTGGTAGGTGAATTTTTAATTGCCTAAGTGTTCTCCATACTGACAGGAAGGTTTTCTTGAAAAGCACTGTGAACCAAGAGAAAATGCTACCTACTGGTAAGCAGAGAGGCAAGCATTTATGTGTGAAAAATAGCTCACAAAAAAAAAATGGTGTAATTTGAATTAACAAAATACAAAGGAAAAACATCAGCAGTACTTGCACAGCTATTTGTGGATTAGAAGTAAAAGTACTTAGAATATCTGAGCACCACTTCTCTCTGGGAAAGGCGGGATTTCCAAAGGAAAATACAAAATATCTGAGAGTATTTACAATTCCTCCTTGACTGCTTCCCATAAATCCAACGCAGGTCAAACAGAGACTAAGAAATGAGAGAAACACAACAAATCCTTTTGATATGTTGGTTTTTATTACTTTTGAAAATTGTACAAAGAGCACATGTGCATGAGTTAAAAAAACACACAAAGGAAAGGCAGAGTATTACAAAAACACACACAAATCTGAGACACAAGACAAACAAAAATTTCCATTGTGTGATTTGAAATAAAAAGGCATTTTGCTGACTAAAAATGTGTTATTTCAGTATATTGAGAAGTTTTTCGATTAGAAATACAGCATGAGACTTTTCCTCAATTATTAACAGGTCAGACTCAGTTTCACTGAAGATGGATGGACCGTTATGTCACCTCACTGGCCACAGGCAAGCAACTAAATGTGGGAGGGTATGGTACAATGTCCGTGAGGTATCAGAAATAAAGTAACTCCTTCCTAGCTGTTCATTCAAGCCAGCATTGGATGTGACCTTCTCAACTTTCCAAAGGAAGATCCCATGTCCAGTCTCTTCTCCTTTGGATGAATATCAAGAAGGGTTCTTCACACTTACAAAGGAGTGAAGACAAGGAAGTTGAGATGTAGCGCGACATTCCATCTGCTCTTTCATCAAGTCTTACACTGACAGTGGGCTGTGATGCACATGCAGAAAGGACCGCAGCTGTCTTACCCGTGGATTTATTTCAAAGCATTACAGAAGAGGGTCAGCTATCCATATGCCCACCCTTGTGTACACTGTTGTTCTGTTGTAGAGCAGGGGCTGAGTGTGGGTATCAGCACTCTAGACATGAGTTCTGCCTGTCATGACCCAGGCTGTCTCTGCCACTCAGCCTGCCTCTGTTCCCAATTTCGAGGGAAGATACAATTCATCACTTACTTTATTTTCTGAGGTTGCATAATTAGGAAGTTACTACTAATACTGTTATGCTTATTGGCCTTGGATTTAGGGGGTTGTGATGACTTTCTCTGATGGGCTTAATATGCATGCTCCACTGTGAGCCCATCAAGCACTAGTGTCTGGAACTGAAAGCAACTTCTACCTTAGAAGCTCCTAAACCCAAGAAACATCTCAGTGTGGGGCTCCGGGGTAAGGCTGAACCCAACTTGCCATTTCCAGTTTGGAGACCTGGGACCAGCTACTCATCTACTCTATCTACTGCCTCCAGTATAAACTTTAAATTACAACAGTAACAACAAGTCAAGGGATTGCTACCTACATAAAATAGATCGGCTAATTGTGGGATAAAAACAATGTCTGCTACAGAGACCATCTGGATTCCTCACTCTAGAAATATGGGCTTCTAAGGTATCTCCAAATATTACAAATGTATACTGGTATGGAAAATGTTACTAAATTTTACACTAATGATACTAAAGTCATACAAATAAGACAAAACCAGCGATAGGTTTATACGCATGTTCTTTGAACTCCACCTGAAATCTAGTTAAAGTTAATGTTCCATCTGTAGCTACTTTATTGTTCATTTTCAAACACTTACTTTCACAAAAGTAGTCCTCATAGTTCTAAAAGTGGCTTTTCACTGCCCTGCTTTGCTTCAGCTTCTTCTTCAGATCCTACGTGGTGGGGAAGGGAAAGCAGAAAGAAGTATGTCATTGCATTACAGGACTATACGCCTTCATTAAAATGACTAAATTAATGCATATGCTTATAAAACCGTATGTGAGATGCAGAGAACTACGGACTGACAGATGGAGAGAGCTTCCATCCACTGGTTTACTCCCCAAATGTCCCTAAACTGCTGGGATGGAGCTGAGGAGAGGCAGGTGCTGGGCACTAAACTGAGGTCTCCCACACGGGTGGCGGGAGCCTATTCACTCCAGCCATTATTGCTGCTTCCCAAAGTCTGTGTTATCAGGACAACTCCATCAGGAACCAATGGCAGGCATCAAAGCAGATGCTCTAAAACAGGATGTGGGCATCGTAAACACCCGGAGAAATGCCTGACCCATATTTGCAGACAAGTTTAAGTGGAAGATATGTATGTTTAAGTTTCAGAGTTTTTATAAAGGGCCAAGTTGTAATCATGTGATCTATAACCTGCACTTATCTGTCCCCATGATAAAAAAATGATTGTGAGACAAATACACAACCAGAAGTAAAGAAAGTGTTGACAGTGACACTATGCACAATTTCTTTGTTTTCAGTCTTTCATTGTTCTTCTAAAAAGCACTTATTGCTTTCATAACCAAGGAAGGGAAAGATCAGAAAATGACCTATGAGATGACCCTGGTAGCAGCCGAGGGATGCCATCAATTCACACACAAAGCGCCAGCCTCCACTCTTGCTTCCAGGGGACATTATTTTGTTATGAAAATGTCTGCCTGCATTAGAGCCAAGCACATACTTGCTACAGGACAAGCAATGGCTGAGAACCTCATGCCTCCACATTAACCTCAAGAGCATCATATAGTTCTAACGGAATCTGTGGTGAAATCAATAGACTGAGGGATGGTGGTCGCGCTTCACTTTCCAGCCCTCTGCCCTCCTGTAGTCACAGACGGGCGGCGTGGTCTAACTGCTTTCTGCATTGAAGCAGCTGCGGGAAGCAGCTCACACCCAGTCTTCCTGTTCCTGGGCTCATCTTCCACCTGTCAGACCAACAGTGTTTAAACCACAATGACCTCATTCATTGTGGAAGTCCAAGGTAAAGCTAACTGTTAATTAAAGCACTACATACACACCTCACATGTTTTACAAGAGACTTTTGGCAACAGCCTGTTGAGGGTGTTGAGTTTTCTCCCACATAAGTACCTATACAATATGTACCTATACAAATTGACAAAACAAATTTTTGTCATTTTGGAAAATAAACATTAATTCAAAGTGGACCTCATCTTGATTGAAAGCACCAGTAGGTGGCAGTACACGTCATGGTCAAAAAGCCAAGGGACCCAGAAGTGGCAAGTTTGAAGTGCTACTCTGGATGTCTTTCTTTGTCTTTATTTTTCAGAGTTGGTTATTGATTTGAAAGGCAGAGTGACAGAGAGAGGGTGACGGAGACAGTGGATGTGTGTGATAGATCTTTCATGTGCTGGTTCATTCCCCAAATACCTAAACCCGCCAGGGCTGAGCCACACTAAGGCAGAAGCCAGAAGCCACTAGCTCTTCAATGATGGTCCCTCTCGTGGTGGGGATCCAGGTCCTTGGGCCATCTGTGGCTTCTGAGCATGCCCATGAGTGGGAGCTGCATCAGAATCGCAGAGCAGTGAGGATTCAAATTTCTGACTTGGTATTTTTGGGATATACACACAGTAGTGAAATTGTGGATTACAAGACAATTCTATGTTTAAGTTTTGTGGGGTTTTTATACTTCTTTCTACAGGAGCTATATACCATTTTATATCCCCACAGCAATCCCCAATGGGTTCTAACAGTTCTATTACCTAACTCATATTTATTTTGTAAGCTTTTTAAAAAAATAACAGTCATCTTAACAAGTATGAATTAGTATCTCAGGATGGTTTTGATTTACATTTTCCTAATGATGAGTCATGCATATTCATGCTTTCACGTGTTCATCTGTATATCTTCTTTGGGTAAATGTCGAAGGTTTCGACCCTTTATCAGTTGTTGAATGTAACTGTTACGTACAGCACACTGACAGCTGGTTAGTAGAGAACCTGGAGGCAAAAGACTAAGCCTGTGGTAGAAACTGAAGCAAGAAATGCTGAATTGAGGTTGGTATTGGCAGGAAGTGCCAGGATTTGCATAAGGCAGCTGAGGCAGAAGTGAAGGAGCAGACAGTCCAAACAGCTCTGTAAACAGGAGACAGGAGCTGCAACTAGGGGTGTGGAGTGTGCAGGAGGCATGGGCAAGTGGGGCTGCCACTTTGAGCTGGGGTATCCTAGGACAAGGCCATGTCCCTCGTCTGTGGCATGAGCTGTAGCTCACTGGTCACAGGGTCCATGCCCGCAACAACACACACAAACATAACTGTGTGCCTCACTGCAGGTCTCAGAAAAGACTACATCTTACTTCTTTATTTTTTTTTAATCCTTAATGTCCTTATTAGTTAAATGCTTGCAAAATGCACTGAGGAAACGAGTAAATAGGAAGACTGAATGAGGCAGAGCGTTTGATGATGGACAAAACCACAAATGATCATCAAATCTGTTTTTTACCTGCTTCAGATTCAGGAGGAGAATAAAACTGACCATCAGAAAGACCAGCAGGTATAAGAGCTGCCCTCTCGGAAGCATCCTGGACTATCAGGAATCCTGAAAGAGAAAATTGTCAGATGCAGGGGATGACCTGGCAGCTTTGTGGCAAGATGACTACACAGTGGTGCTACTGCTGCAGTAAAAGTCTCCTAGAAAAATCAGGTACTTTGAAAATTGCTCAACTAACACACTGGGTATCAATAAGAGCAACTGTGTGTGTGTGTATTTTTTTAAAACTATCTCTTGTTACTCAAGGGATGAAATTAGTAGTCACAGCATCATTCTCTTGGGGATATCTACTTCCTTACAAAAATAAACAGGATTATCATACCTGAAACTGAAACAAAAACTGCCTGCATTTAGGGAAGTGCTAGAAGTAAACCAAAATGCATAGATGGCCTCTTACAAATAAGGAATATTCAAGGCAATAAAGAAATATTTATGCAAGGAGCAGGTCTCAAAAGAAGGGTATGAATGGCATGGCAGGTATAACAGCTCAAGAACACTGGGGTATGGTGAGAAAGGCCATGAGTACTTTCTTTTGGCTGAAGGCTGAGTTAAGATGGCATGGAGGGTACACCAGGCAATACCTGATAGTGAAAAAAAAAAAAGCAGACACTGCCTTGAAACTCACAGTAATTTTCCCTTTTTCATTGCATGTGTAGCTGTGTAAGCACCAATTACAGCAGTGTTATTTTTACACAAGAGTCCATTCTGATGGTTATGTGTTATAAAAACAAAACTAGCAGGGGCTTACTAGACCCTTCTCTAAAGGGACAGAGCACAAGCCAGTTAACATATTTGGCTTCATTTGTCTGTTTTCTCCATCTATTCTTGAATTGTAATTCTTTTTTTTACAGAGTCCTTCTCTGTAAGTTTGCTTTTCTAAAATAAAACCATGTGCAAGGTTACTGCTCAATTTGCCACCAGTCATGATCACAACCGTATTTACTGTTCTCTAAGACAGGAGGTATTTCTTCCTGTGAGACGGTGCAAAGAGGACTGACAAGAGGTAGAGAATCAGGACTCTTGAAATTCTCTGGGTGCTCTGTTTATCTCACCTCTGGGGACTGTGTGGTGGGGTGCAGGTGGGCTTCCATTAAGGACATCACATAGTGAAGAGTCCAAGCCCAGTAATAAATCCTGGTCTCCTTGGTTGGTAACGTGGGGGTATTCAAAGCCATGGGGTGAGACCAACTTTGGCGGTACCCAGGAGTGCCCCATGTTGTCGGCACTCAAGCAGGACAGCACAGGGGGAGGCAGCGTAACACCGGCTTGCAGCATCCACCTGTGAACATGTCTTCCTCAGCAAGGCCCCAGACCTGGGACTGTGGCTGTTCTATCTATGGCCCAGCCAAGCCACCAGCTTTCATGGATAGCAGTGTGAGACTTCGGAGACCCACTGACTGGCATTTAAAATTCCAACTTCAGCTCACTTCAAAGTGGTTTAAATTTTCTCTTCTAAGAAACACAGTTCTGTCCATATGGGCATTTAGTATCCCACAATGACTGTTCATAGGGATAAAGGGCTAATATGTGGAGGAGAATGTGTTGGCTGATTTTGTTTTCACACTTTCTCCCAGGCAAGCCTGGCCAATAGCTGGAAAGGGAAGCCCCACTTTGTGCCTGTACTTTCACTACCTTCCCACCTTCTCCCAGCCCCACTCGCCTCACCCGCCGGAACCTCTCTCCTATTCCTGCCGCAGTTACTAAAGAATGAATGAGACACTGGGACAGTGTAACTCTATCAAGCTGCAGCTCTGTTCAAATCAAGACAGCCACATCTCGTCCTTCCAGCGTGCATCCCAGATGCTCTCTAAGAGAAACTTACTGTTTTCTTCTTCTGCTTCTTGAGGTAAGACTTTGAAATCCAGGAACCACGTCTCGATCCAGGCAAGGATGAATGAAATGATGGGCAGCACGTAGCCAAACGCCCCTTGAGAGAAAAGCTGCAAGAATACGTGTGACCAGGAGAGCGAAATGCGGTACCTGGGAGCTCACAGGGGACAATGAGGCTTCCTCACTGCACACGGTGACGGTGCAGGAAGAGCGGCAGGTCTTACCTTTGAGAGGATCACTTTTGCTAATAAAAAGGCACTGGTCACTGCTGTCGTCAACTGAAAGACACATAATCCAGCACCAACCAAATTAGACAGGTGCCTCCTTCATGTAAGAGCCCTGCTCACTTAGAACATTAAGTGCCTGGCCCAGTATTAATGAAGTTGCAACACACACACACAGCCAGAGTGAGAGGAGGCCTTTTACATTCCAACACTAACTTCATAGGCTGGAACCAAGTATCCTTCAGACACCTGCTGACTTCCCCTCCTTCCAGCTGCCTGGATTCTATCTGCAAATATTTATAAAACCAAGAATGAGAAACAAGGGAATAAAGTTGTTAAACCAAAGCCATCCTTCACACAACTTGAAAGAAGAAGCTGATGATACTTTCTTACAACTCTCGCTGCCTATCCAGATGTCTGCCCCCATTTTAAAGCAAATGCTGATACAGATGCTGTGTAAATACTAGCATACATGAAGGAGAATAAAATGTCCCAATGTGAACTGTTGTTAAAAAAAAACTTGTAAGGCATAATATTCACAGCTACTGTGACATTATCAGAGTATTCAGGAAAGGGAGTCAAGGCTGGCTGGGACCGCCAGCTCCTAACTATGAAATGAGAGCTGTGGATTAACAGAGGGTCTGAACACACCCGGCCTGTGGCGCTGACTGTTCAGACATGACCCAGGCTCAGGTGGCACCCTGGTGGTCACAGTCTTAGGACAGTGGCACAGTTCCCAAGCTGGACATATCTAAACCACGTATTTTAATCAAGGAACTTGAGTTAGTAATTCCTGAGTAGTTTTGCACTCTGAAGAGTTCAATATTCTCCCCCAAATGTACCTGCCTTATTAGAATTCTTAAAAAATTTGAGTGAAGAAACACCTGTGAAAATGACAAAACTAACACAGATAGAACTGCCTCTGGATTCTTCTTTCAATCTCTAAGCATTTACCGGGGAAAAACAGGGTATGTCAGAGTGGTGCCAGATGCAAGGAAATGGAGGTAAAAAGTGTCTGGGGGCAACAACACAGGCGAGCGGGGCAGTTCTCGCCTCTTGGAGATGAGGGCAATAAAATGGGAAGGCAATGATCAAAATGAGCTCTGAGAAAAAAATTCAGTATGCAGGTTCAAACAAACACAAAATTCCCCAAATCACTGCTCTCATCTCTTATGGACAAAATGAGGTAGAAGACGGCTTAGTGCTTGGCCAGCAGCCACTGCTGGATCTCCAGGTTCTTCCCTTGGCTCAGCACTCTGAAGACAAAGCCAGTGACTCAGTAATACTGGAGAGAAGACCAGAGGGTGCCAAGGAAGGGTACTCATGAAGATGGGGGCCTCCCACCCAGTTAACATTACATCTTCTTCCAGCTCAGGACTTGGTGAGCAAGCCCTGGCCTCCAGCATGGAATCGGGAACATGGCCAACTCATGCAGGTACACTTACCGCGATTGCCCACCAGTGACGCAGTCTGCACACGGCATATGCAAGAATTAACACTTTAAATCGAAAAACTGCCAAAAGCTGTGAGAAGGAAAAACAAAGTTATTCAAAATCTATTTAAAAATTAAGTAAGTTAGCTTTTTGAGAACGCACTGGGGTGTCCTTATTCTAAGTTAACTGCCAACCACTTCTTAAACCGGCACAGGTCTACAGATCAGCATGTGGCAATCCCTACTCAATAACCCTTTAAAGGATCCTGAAATAGTTCATGGAAATGTGTTTTATGAAAGGAAATTATGCATGGATTAAAAAAAATTTTTTTTATACCCAAACAACCCTATCCTTTAATTCTACTTTTCCATGAACATTTTGAAGTGCCCTCAACATCCCAGTCAAGTAAGGATTCAGTGAATTTTCCACTAGTAAGAAAAGGACAAGGCAGAACAGGCCTGACATTTCACACTGATGTTAGTATGAAGGTGAGTCTTCAATGACTGGGATGTCAGTGGGCCCCATTTCAGCCATAAGAAAGGTTCCAGACCCTTCTCATGCCCTTCCTTCTCCTTTCGTAGATGAGGATGCCAGACTCTCCCTGCTGCCTCTCTCCACCCACATTCCTGCTCCCATCCCCCACACTGAGAGACAGAAGGCTATGAATGGGTGGGTAATTATATAACAAGAAAACATGATCAACAATCAAGTGAAGACATCTATATAAAGGAAACCTGAATTCTGACACCCTGCTACACACACCTTGCTACATCAGATTAGAAATGTGAAAGAAAACATACTTACAAATATATCAAAATAAGAAGAGTAGTAGTCGTACTGCACCACCTCCTTCTCCAGTGTGTTCTCAATGCCTCCATTCACCTAGAAAAGCAAATACAAGAGGTCCATGTGCAAAAAGTACAAGAGAGACTGGCTTCCTCTAGATATTTCTGTCCACTTGTTGGAATATAGAAATGTTGAAATACAGAAGAGAAGAACACATATAGAAAAGATTTGCTACACTCCTTATAAATCCTCAATTATGAACTTTTAATTTAACAGATATAAGTGCATGAGTTGGCAACTTGCTGAAAGGGGCTAAGGAATAAATAGTTTTGCCATTGTGGGCAAGACGGTCTCAGTCATAACTACTGAGCCCAGCTACTCAGCATGAAAGCCAACCATGGACAATATGTAAACAGACAGGCACGGCCAAATTCCAACAGAACTTTATTAACACTGGACAACTCAACTGGTTCTACAGCTTCAGGCTTTTTGTTTGCTTATCTTTTTTCTTTAACTTTTGTTACACAGGAAAAACACCAAGAATTCGAATTTCAAAATTGTGCAGCGGTTTTCAAGGTATCGGGTTTGCTTTAAACAGGACCACTAAAGAACAAGAGAGGCCCAAATCAGCCAGAGGAGACCAAGGTTGCCCCATTTGGAAAGAGCTGGAACTCACTCAATGAGATAGAAGTGACAAGAGAAATTTAAAAAAAAAAAATTAGTTTTCTCCCTCCGGAAATATTTCCTAAAAAGTTAAGAAAAAGTAAAAATAATGCCAACTTACATTTAACTCTATTATCCACAGTAATGTTACAAACAAGAGGTCAAAGGTGACAAACAAGCAGAAAGTCCTCCTGACGTCAGATATGCCTTTCTTTTCCCTTCCTTCGTAGGACTCGATCCTGGCCATGAGCTGCGTGGGGTTGATGGAGTGGACATTGTGCAGGGAGGCGTGGGAGCTCTGGCTCCCAGTGAGAGTGCTGTCCATGTCTCCTGGCAGGTGGTTCATCCCGGAGCAGGGCTAAAGGAACCTCTGAGCAACTTCACCATCCCTGGAGACACCGGACCTTGGGGAGAGAAAAGAGATGCTGTGTTAAATCCAAGTTCACCTACTGCAGCCATGCTGCCCTCACCTCCATGAGACTACTTTGCTAATGGAATAACAGTGTCTTGACAGAAGACATTTTGAGGAAGTTATAAAGACAACTGAAATGAGAAGCAACACTTGATGTCACCCGTTCATCCTACACAGTAACTGTGAGGGAGACGGGGAAGGACAGGATGTTAGTGACAACTGGAAGACCTTCCCGATAATGCAGACCAAGCCTCTTGGTGCATGAGCCAAGTGAGTTGGAAGAAAACCTCCCACAGTCCTGTAAATGTCATTACTGTGGACTAAGAAAATATTAACTGACCACATCCCTGGAGCATATCAATTAGCTATAAAAAGCTTGTTTCCTAATGAGGAATTGTTTCCCAGCAAAACACCCAGTACATTGAATTTACCATTTCCCTATCATTTAATAATAAGGATGGTTCTGGGCCTCTTCTTGGAAGGGAAAGTGTGCACTGGCTCAGAAGTTTAACATGATGCAGACACCCAACTGATAATTATGGAAGTTAGAGCCCTTTAGAGAGGTGTAAGTCCCCTGGGGCCAGGAAGTGCTTCTGTAATAAAGGGACAGATGAGTAATCTGATCTGATCTCACAGGAGGCGAAAAGTCACTAAATAGAAGGTGCGTTGGATGGCAGGACTGTTGACTTAAGATCCCAGTTTCCCTGCAGGCCCTCTCTCTGTGGGAGGATCACACACTCCTGGCTCCACTTAACTCTGTCCAAGAATGCTGGCGGAAGTCTGCATGACACTGGGGTCCATCAGTCCTTAGAGCCAGTGCCACCATGGTCTCCTAACTGCCATAATAGCCAGCAATGCCCCCTGAGAAAGAAGACCTGTCACAGGGTGGGAGTAACAGAATCTGGAATAACACTGTGAAGCCTTCCCCAAGGCAGTACAGTCTCATCTGATCCTATCCTCCGTTCAGAATTGGACTCCTTACACCTGATCTCCGTTTCTCCTTTCCACACCTTTATGCAGAGCAGTAGTAAGATGACATACCATGTTTTGAAAGACGCTTGATTATATAAACTAAAGCAAATTAAGGCACAGACCTTCAAATCAAAAACTGACATAAAACACTAAAGGTCTAGTGCTTTTCTCTGAGGAAGAGAGCAGGGGCTCCAACCTAGACTCTTGGATGTAGGACACAGGTGTCTTGGCACACACCCTTAACTGTTAAACTAAATGCCTGCCCTGTTGATCACTTTAGCTGTCTTACGTACTTTACATCTGGACCTCAGTCTTGGGTGGCTAAGAGGAACCTAGATTTGCTACCTTGGGCAATTCTGACTCATTCGTTTTATAGGCAAAGAAGCTGAGGTCAATGAGCATTGTAACGATACTCCCACACAAGAAATATTTCAACATGAAACTGAGGTTTGAAATGTTGCTCCTTTCTCTCCATCACCCTTACTTACCGCAGATTCCTAGAAGGAAAGCAGAGACACATCAGAGGTATTCAAATGGTCCTCAGGATGCTGTCCTGAGATATGAATGTCCCTAAAGACATGACTGTGCCCACTGTATCCTGAAATGGGATTTCTCCTTTGGTCATCTTGTAAAATATTAAAAAAAATTTTAAATTACAGTTCATTATCCTATACTTCATCATTTTACTTATGCTATAAGATATGAATATTTTAGCCTACAAGGTGGTGTGCTATTAGTATACTGAGAAAGTGACTTGGCAAGAGGAGCAAAGCCAAGGGCAAGAAGCTAGGCTGGTGGCATAACAAGCCTCTGCCTATGGTGCCAGCATCCCATATGGGCACAGGTTTGAGACTTGGATGTTCCACTTCTGATCCAGTTTCCTGCTATTGGCCTGGAAAAATAGCAGAAAATAGTCCAAATGCTTGAGTCCTTGCAGCCCCATGGAAGACCTGGAGGAAGTGGTTGGCTCCTGGCTTTGGATTAGCCCAGGTCCAACCACTGCAACCATCAGGAGGCAAAATCATAGACGAAAGATTCTCTCTCTGTAACTCTGCCTTTCAAATAAAAACAAACAAATTAAAAAAAGAATCCATAGGCAAGATGAGTGAACTGATGTATGTGTGTGACACACCCACCTGCTGAGCTGGAGGAACACCACTGCAAAGCACCATAGTGGCTTAATCAAGTCAAGATGCAAACAGCCTTTTTCCAGCTACCATCTGCCAATATTTTGAAACACTCTTGTTTTCCTCTGTGCCATAAACTGCATTGCTCCAAGTTAAATACAATGTCTACGAGAGATATTTCCAAAATGCATACTGCTGCAATGAATTTTAAAACACATGCAGGTCACATACAAATGTGTAGCTAAAACAACAGGAAACTAGTTTATAAAGAAATGGAGGACATGGACCATGTTACGGCATAACAAGTAGAGCCGCCATCTATGACACCAGCATCCCACATAGGCACCTATTAATGCCCTGGCTGCTCTACTTCTGAATTAGCTCCCTGATAATGTACCTGGGAAAGTAGCAAAGGATAGAGAATGGCTCAAGAACATCTCCCTGAATTTACACGGGAGATCCAGATGAAGCCCCTGACCTCTGACTTCTGTGTGGCCCAGCCCTAGCCACTGTGGTCATTTGTGGAGTAAACCAGTGGATGGAACACTTAGAGACGTGTGCGCTCTCTCCCCTTGTAGCTCTGCCTTTCCAATCACCAACCAACTAAGTACAATTTTATTTTTTAAAAAAAGGAACCTCAGTCATTGCAAACTAATATGTGAAAAATTCAATAAAGCATTTAAATAACTCAGCCAAATGTTCTATAAAAATCCCATTAAAAATCCTTCCTGAGTCAAGTGCCTGTTAATGTGTTAACTGAAAATGAGAGAAATGTGTTGAAAATCATTGCTGTATGAAGCTCTATGGAGCTTTTCACAGATTTGCCACACCATCAGGTCTACATGGGGGGTAGAGCTTGGTACATCGCCTTCTGAGAACTGAGCCATAAAATCAACACATGCTCAATCACAGCTGAAATGCTCTATCCTTAAAGAAACAAAATACTTCAGATGCTAAGCAATGATAGCAAGTTGACAGGGCATAAAATCTAATTCAAGGGCAGAAGAGAGCAAAGTGTCCATTGGAAAGGGGCCAGGTCACTCAGGAAAAGGAGTGTCATAGCATATGGTATGTCATAGTCTGTGCCCATCATTAGGATACCATGCTTGCTGCATTTTAAGTGGTTCCAATCCACTGGTCAGGCTACTCCAATATGAATATGATGGAGAAAACTCAATTCAGTAATTCGTTCCAAACCTCCCATTGCCCTTCCCTAGTTCCACGCTTATTAGAACATGTGATTCTAGGGTTGTAATAGTCTGCATGGCAGTTGAGGTGCTCCCCACAGACACTGAGACATGAGTCTCCCCTATTAGGCAAAGCCACCCTTCACCCAGCTCTGGCAAGAGTCACTGAGAAGTCAGGCTTCCTGCCACCAAGGAGGCAGTCTGGGCTCACCCTATGGGAGTTCTGCTGTGCTGTCAGTGGGAGGCTCTCGGGGAGCTGAATGTCTAGAGGCATCCTGAGGACCCTCCATGCCATCGCTGGCTACAAAACTGCTCTCTGGGAACTTGCAGATGAATCATTTAGACACCAGCTTAGTGATGACTGGACACCATAAAATAATAGCGTATTCTTTTTATAACATGCAAGTGGTGAAATTCCAAAAGAGAATTAGAGAAAGGCTGCGTTGTCACTGTAGTATTCCCCTTTGTATAAACTGCAGGTACTTATCAGTGATTTTCTTCAACTGGAATTATTCAGTAGGCCTCAAGTAACAGCTCTAAACAAAGCTGTCATCATTGAACTTGACCACAATATGGGAACATAACATTTGCTTATTATAAAGCTAGGCTGCAAGCATTTGGATATGAACATGAATTTATATCTAATGTAATGCAGGTAGGGCTTCCAATTAAGGCAAAAGTTTGCCATAAATACACAAAAATATAAGATAGATAATTATATCTGAAATTTTGACATATATATATATATATATATATTTTAACCGACTAAAGAAGGACGGCTAACCTTTGATTTTCTGAAGATTCAGAAGTGTGGGAAATTTGAAAGTATGTTCATTTAATATCTATCATTCAGCATCAATGTGTACCTTAGCAGAAAGAATAAACATATAAAATATCGTTAAAAACTAAGAAACTGGGGTGGCACTATCACATAGGTCTTTAAAAACCCATATAAACACAGACTAAATTTAATGGAACAGATATTCCTACCCATTAAAATGCCTCACTGGCTTCTCAGTACACACATGCACACACCTTTCAATGCATCAGGGTTTTGAAATTATATATATTTTGATGGATTTTCAATCTGGGGAGGACTGTATGATTCCAGTTCTGAAGGGACAACTCTGTATTTCCACTAAGCATCTACTGCTTCCCACTTTTCATACCTTGGCTCTGAAAGACTCTACTACCCAAGTTCTAAGACAGAGAAATACATGGCTGATGATAAGAAAATCAGCAACTGACAGTGGGCTGCAGGGGACAGAGGAGGAAGCAAACAGGAGACGAACAAGCATCCAGGGCTGTGTGTGAAAATAAATGTAACTTAAAAAAAGTCATTAGTAGAGGCCAGAAATCTGAAGTGCAGGAAATTTCCCAAATATTAGGCACTGATTCAAAAAAAAAAAAAACACTGAGTAAATACAAGTACTTTTTTTTTTCACAAGTACATTTTTTAGAGAGTGAAATTCGTGAGATCTTTGATCAGATGGTTTCCTGAGACCCTCAGGAAGAGTACCAGCTCCCCAGTCCTGCCTAACCAAAGCCAGGCTCACTTCCGCCTCCTTTTCTAAAACCACCTGACCCTGTTAGAAACCACAACAAACAGGTCCCTAACATTTTCACAGAATTCTGCTGGCACTTCCCTCTCCACCTGGAGTGCCAGTCTCCTTATCTCTGCAGCCCACATGATAAGCCCTGACTTA